CTTCGTAGCAATGGCAACAGCAATGTTATTCCTTTTAGTGGTGTGGCTAGCGCATGCTACATGAATTTTTAAAACTTTCTCATTGCATAACCTCGTGAATGTTTTGGCCTTCAAAATGTGTTTATACAGAATGTGATGGAGGGAACAGGAACCCTTCTGTTTTGCAACGCTCTGAATAAATGATCCTTCCTCTCAATATGGCCAGGGCAGATCAGAAAGGGCAGAGTGTAGGAAGCTATGAATGAATTTTTTATTTGCAAATTCAATTGACAAAATCACAACAGCTGTGGGTCTGCCACTACAAAGTTGTCTAATCATCATGATACACTGAAATTCTGTATAGCAAAGAACCATTCCTATTAGTTCAATTATATGGCAGAAAACAAAACTGTCAATTGTGGAGCTGTCTCCTGTATACAACATTCCTGAGGAAAGCACCATAGTTTTAAAGGAAACCCAAAAGACAGCCGTTTCTAAAAGCAACTTTCAAAACGCTACCCAGAGATACTAAAGTGCATGATGACAAATAAATAGTAACAGTCTAATACATTGTCCCCTAAAGGTAGACATGGAAACAAGCGTTGAAGCACGGGAAGAAAAATGAGGCAAAAACCTTACAAGGAGACAAAGAAATGCATAAAATAATAAAATGAGGTCATCTTCCTCAAAGTCATGATGTAGATGCGGGTCAAGAGAAGCACTTTTTTTATTTAATTTCCCTTTTGTCACTTTCTAGCATAGCCAGCTATGTAGCCTGAAAATTTATTTGGAAAAGTAGCCCCAGCAGAAATCTCAAAGCTTCATGGTTTCCTGCGTCTGCAAAGAAAGGACAAGACTGTTATCCCCAATCATGATCAAAAACTCTACAGTTCAATACGAACAAACAGACAGCTTAAAAGTGGATTGAAACGTTCACTTGGAACAGGGGTAGGCAACCTTGGCTCTTTTATGACTCGTGGACTTCAACTCCCAGAATTCCTGAGCCAAGTCCACGAGTCATAAAAGAGCCAAGGTTGCCTACCCCTGACTTAGAACCTTCCCAGAAGGATCCTGAGACGTTTTTCAATTCTCGGAGTGACCCCCTGGCGCGCATAACTCTCTTCCCCCAGAGAAGAAGCGCTCTTTCAACACTTCCCTCTACCCCCACCCCATGTTTTCTGAACGTTGTCCCAGGGCCATAGCTTGGCTCGGGACAAATGGAATAATGGGCCAAGGGGAGTTGGCATCCCAGAATGACTTAAGAGCCTAAACAGCTGAATAATAAAGCTAAAGGAGTGGGAGCAGTAGAAACTCGGGAGCCACCAGGGAGGTTGCGTGGAGGACAAGCAGGTTGTGCAGTCCAGCCCTCCCTGTAGCTAGAAAACCTGTAGGCTGTGCAGGTTTGCCTGGATGTTAATGGTTGCCTTTTAAAGAACTCGCATTGACCTCTTTTTACCTCGGATGCCCTGTTTCCTGCCTGTTAAAATGTCTTGCACAACTGTCAGTGTTCTTCCCTGAGCTGAACAGATCACTTCCACAGCAAAGCCAGCACTTATCTGCAAGCGGCAAAACCTCAATAGTCAAGTCTATTTTCAGTCCTAAACACTAGCTCTTTACCCGGCTCTCCCCTCTCCCCCCCTCCCTCCCCAAAAGCTTGACCAGTAGTACCCAGTCTCTCTCGGGAGCATCGAAGAAAGTCTGCAGGATGGGTGGAACACGGAGAACTTACTTGGGCTGAGCGTGATGTTGATAGCCAGGTCCAAGGTGGGAACCTGCCTTCATCTCCACTGCGACTGAACACTGGCCAAAAAAAGGCAGGCAAAGCTGTCAAGAGGTGACTCAAGATCATCCAACCCATCCTCTGCCAAAGATACTCCTGACTTACCCGTGTTTCCACATCAGTCCATTCTGACTCGGAAGCCTCCTCGGGGAGGGGAGGGCTTGACGGAGAGGATCGCCGCTTGCGTCTGGAAGAATCCGTGTGTTAGGTACAGAAAAGGAAAAAGTCATTAAGGTTTGAAACAGTTCAGAGGCAGGATTGAAAATTCTGAGGCCCGTCTCCTGCCTGAAAGTGCCCAGACACAAGATTGGCATCAAGTCTGCTCTTATTTTATATTCACCTGGGGATATTTCCAATTTGTAATTCCATTTGCTTACTCTGCATTTTTACAATTTTATCCAGGAGCAGAATATACCCACAGGACTTCCTGGCCTTCTCTGCATGAACCTCGATTATTCAGTCATGCACAAAAAATCACGGCCTGGTCACGCTCTCCACTAACACCCAGGACTCACATCAGTTTCCATTCACACTGAAGTGAGACACGAAAGGGTAAAACCGTTTGGGTTGAATGTGACTCACCCTGTTGGTGATTCTTGTTTCAAGGTCTCTATTTCAGTGAACTGAACAGCCTGTCCACCTCCCCTGGTCTTGAAAACATCACCCTTTTGAAAACAAAACCTGTTTAAGAAAATTTCTGAACAGAGAATTTTTATTGGCACAATTGATAATGTAACAAGCTATTTTTTGCTACATTCTTACACACACATAAGTAAAGCTAGAAAGGTTTTATTTTTCTGATCTCCCAGAAGTACAAACCAACTAAATTACACCCATTTTATAGGAATAAAGCCCACAGCAGTCAAAAGCTGCACTGGGTTTCCACCACTATTTGCCTACAGCCCTGAGTAACAAATTATACAATCTGACAGTCTTGCTCCAGTTTAACACTTCCAACAGCCCCAGAAATTGTAGAAAAGCATCCCTGGTTGCAGTGTGGAGAATTAGGTAGCAGAATAAAGAAATATCCCCGAGGTACAAATGTTCCCTTAGCGCAGGGGTCTCCATTAGCGAATGTGTGAACGAAAGCAGGGAGCGATGGTGTTCAAGATACGCCATTCACGCCTACGAATCCTCAAGTTACGAATGGAATGGGCAGGCTCCACTACGTTTGTAACTTGAGGACTCCCTGTAGTCTGTGGTCAACAAGCTCATTTTCTTGGAGGATTTCTTTAGAAGCATGATGCACCACACAGAACGCTCCCACCCAGGAGAGCCCTCTACACCAGAGTTTACCTTGATCAGCCTTGTCTCGATCTCCCCATCAGAGGCCAACTCCTGGTGTGTCAGCATGTATTTGTCACACTTTGCCAGTGCCTTCTCGTTTGCAGAGGTTACCATGATGGCGTGGGGGACGTGCGGCTGCATGACTGTTTCAGTCTGGATATTGGAAGGAGGTTTGTGGTCCACCCACCTCTCCCCTGCCGAGCGAGACCGCCTGTGACGAAGGCGAACAGGAGGAGCAGTCTGGGAGATCAGAAAAAGAATTTTATAAAAATTAGTAGGCAAGTTTCCTAAGCTTATCCCTGGGAAGTGCATTTTCCAGGGTTTAATCAATAGTTGAGCAAGATATTTAATTCGCAGCATTTGCTGTTGAGATCCTATATACTCTTCCAATATATTTGTAATATAAGAAGAGGAAAACCAAGCACACACTGATAACTGCAGATTAGCTGAAGCCCTCCACCAATAAATTTGGGTCAGAAGTTTAAGATCCTTCCAGGCTTCACCATGCAAAATCAAAGATATCAGAAGCACCAGCACAGAAAACAATGTCACGTTTTGAGGCCAGACCCAAAGGCTCTGCTTTTATGCCCTGTGCATCTCCCAGAAATGTAGAATAGCAGGGGGTGGCGTAGAAACCATTCAAAGATCGGCCTGCACACACACAAAATGCAAAATAGTGCAGTTTCTACATACGACTATTATGAACATAGAAAAAAGGCAGGGAACAGCGAGCAGTTCCCGAGCTGCAGAGTAGTAAACCCCTTCAGGCCTAAACAGCTTTTACTATTTTTATAAAGACTTGCAGCGTTTGTTATTAAGGGCATCACTGCAAGATATCAGAATTTCTTTGAAGTTCCAAAGTAAGCAGTTTTTTGTAATTTGAGATTTATGTGAAAAGCTAATTTCTACCTAGTTTAATTCAAACTAGTTACCGAAAATTAAAGACTTGTCGTGTAAACAAATATGTAAACACAAACACATTATCAATTAACGTGAAAGCATTAATGGCAAGAAAGGGACAGGACCTCACAGGACCACCGTTCAGGGTTGATGGAGAACACAAAGCTGGCCTGGGCAGCAAGAGGCTAGTTCAGATTAACCCTTGTTTTTTAAAAGGAAGTGGGAATCTATAGCTCTACCAATGACAGCTGTTCTCTTGCTTTGCGTCTGCAGCTCCCATGATGGTGAGGTGTGCTTCTTAGCAAGGGCAGTGCCCACAATCACCGGCCACTCACACAGGGGCAATCACAGCGGACACATAACACTAACCCTGCAGCACAAGTCCTCTTCTAGCTCTAGGGGCCCTCTAGTGCTGGAAGCTGCCAGGACTCCTGTCCAGCACATGCCTCGCCTTCTGTCTGACATAACCCAGGGCCTGGCTTGTTCTGGCTCCTGTAGTCTACTCCTGGCTCTAGGGAGGCCACTGTCACCCTTGCCAGGAGGCTTGCTGTGCTGAGTAGGTGTTCTCTGCTCCCACTCCGAGACGCAGGAAGCCACGGAAATGCTGCTACAAGAATTTGAACGCCTATGCAGCTGTGGCTGGCTTCTGGCAGGCGGATCATGGTTGTTAGGCAGGTGAGTGATACAGTTACTAGAAAACTGAAGAAAGGTGCAGTTAGCGAATAAGGCAAAAAGAAAAGAACACTACCAAAAACCTTCCTAGAATTCAGCCCCGTGTCCTTTTGCTCTATACTAAGCAGAGTTAGAAAGAGAAAACATGCACAAACAGAAAGAGTCGAAGCTAATTCAAGGAGATGGTTCACAAGAGAATTCTCCTGGCTGAGCTATAGACTCCCAGCCACAGTACTTTTGACTTCTCAGAGTCACTTGCCACAGAGGCGAACGTATCCAGAGACAAAGGCACATTCAGCCTCAAAAGAAGCTTACAGGTACTGGAGGAGGTGACAAGGATCTTTGCAGAGCTTTCTCCCGATCCTTTTCCCGTGAAGGCCTTTCGGGTTTGTTACTCTTAGGTTCTGTGACGATGGCTTTTAGCTGCTTTAGCTTCTCATCTTTCACCCAAAGCTTGTTCTGCATCTCCAGTTGCTTGGCTGCCACACGCCGCTCCTGCATGGTAAAGAAAGGCTACAATTACACCCTGTATGCTACCTAACACAAAATTAATTGGCTGATGAGTTTTGATTGCAAGGACATGTCTCTAAAGTGAAACAGATGCCTGCTGAAATATTACATTTTGAAAAATTATCAACTACGTTACTATAGCAAACTGCAGGAAAACACTAAGATGATCAAAGGTCTGGAGACTAAAACACATGAAGAACGATTGCAGGAATTGGGTATGTCTAGTCTAGTGAAAAGAACGACTAGGGGTGACATGATAGCAATGTTCCAATACTGGGGAGGGGGGGCTGCCACGAAGAAGAGGGGTCAACCTATTTTCCAAAGCACTAGAAGGCAAGACAAGAAACAATGGATGGAAACTTATCAAGGAGAGAAGCAACCAAAGAGAAACTTCCTAACAGTGAGAACAATTAACCAGTGGAACGGTTGCGCCTTCAGAAGTTGTGGGTTCTCCATCACTGGAGCCTTTTAAGAAGAGATTTGACAGCCACATCTGGAATGGTATAGGGTCTCCTGCTTGAGCAGGGGGTTGGACGAGAAGACCTCCAAGATCCTTTCCAACTCTGTTATTCTGAACATTTACTGCAATTACAACATTTACTGTATGTTTCTAGTAGGCCTTTTTTTAAATTTTTAAAAATTATTGCTGCCAATTGTTTACTTAAATCTTGCATGAATAAATTATAGCAATAAAGTACTCCTCTGGTAGAGAAAAGTATCACCAAGAAAGAAATAGGAGATGCCCACACAAAGCCTCAATCTTGTGTAATGGAGTCTGAAAGATCAACTTGTACCCTATGCAAGAATGAACATGGGATACAGTCCCAGAAACGCTTAACAAACAGCCCAAAGCAGCATTGTACATCTTTGCATTTACAGTTTAATATCCCCACTCTTATGTGGGAAAAACTAAGCACATAGAGATATACCCTGTAGTGTTTAGCTGCCTATCCAGCAGTCAAGGAAAGTTAGCCAGACTTTCCAGAGATAGCGTTAAACCCTTCCAGCTACATCGCCTATTGTGAAAAGGAAACCGCTGAGCTTCTTCCCAGCCCCATGGATCAGTAAACCAGCCATACTCACACATTCCTTTTCCCATTTCATTGTCGTCTCTGTCACCATGCCCTGCAAACGAGCTTCTAGTCTACGCTTGTCTGAAACTTGACGCTGCAGCTTTTGACTCTTGCTTTCTAGTTCCTGATGCAAATTGCGCTTCTCTTCTTCGTAAATTGATGTTGTTTTCTCCAGGATATCAATCTGGTATGAGAGATTACAACGCAATTCCTATTCTGAAAACTCACCTCCACAAAATTTAGCACAACTTTTCTGTTTTTTGGCAAAACAAGATCCTGCGTTGCAAATGATACCCATAAAAGTGATAAGCAACCACCACAAGACAGAAGCAGTTTGCAAAAATTATGCTTTGAAATCTGTTGGGTAAATTGGGGTAGCCCTTTTAGTGTTCAAAATTTGTCAGCACTTGTGGAATTGCATAGAACTGCCTGACGTTGCCCACTATCTTAAAAGCTTGCTAACCCCTCAGGTCTGCCTCATGTCAAGAAGTTTGCCGTCTTAAAATCCATCAACAAATGGAGAAGCACGTCAGCAATTCAAGATTTTCCTTTTGAGCAGAAATATTTACAAATGAGTGCTATACTTAATCATCAAACAGTAAATAGAAACCTTATATTCCAGAGTTTTTGCTTTCTTCTCTAGTCGCTCAATCTCAGTTTTCTGTCCTGTTATGATTTTGTCTCTTTCAGCTACTTTCACGTGTGCAAAGTTTTCTTTGGATACAATGCTGGCATCAAGTTCTTGCAACATGTTCTTTACACAGAGAACTAGAACAGAAAAAGATGTTTGATTTCTATAGCTGTCTATCTAAACAAGTGATTCTGTTTATTCAAAGAAACATTAAAACGATATAAAATAAACATATATTGTCACTGAGTAAAACTATTGCCATGTTACTATAATCATGAAATGAGTCCTACAGCAGAGAAGGCACACCTCCTAGTGCCCATCAGCCACATTCCTTGGTTGACGGAATACAGCTGCATTCTCCATTAGTTGAAGCATCCAAATGCTCCTCAAGGGCAGCCCCACGCAGAGTGCATTGCAGTAATCCAGGTGAAAGGTCATGAGGGCATCAGTGACTGTGAGCAAAGTGTCCAATCCAAGAATGGGCATAACGATGCACAACCCTAAGGTGCGCAAAGGCCCCCAAATTTACAACAATTACAACAGGGAAATTCCAGGTACAGGATCTTGGACAAACACAAATTCTAAGAGCTTTTTATGGAAGACTTACCACCTCTTCTGATTATTTTTCAGACGTATACTGTGTATTTGCTGATTTCAGTAAGCAATCGCTCAGTTCTTTGCCTCCCATGAAGAACATCACAATTTATTCACTTATAGCCAGGGCAACACAAGCTGGTGCCAAGTACTTACCCTTTTTGACAAACTCTTCTGAAAGCTTCTGCCGGATGTGGTGCCGCTTTTCAAGTACTTCAATCACTCGAGGCAAGGTCTGGTCATCATTGATGTCCAGAAGTTCACAAGAGGGCACTGGAGGGAAGCTCTGCAGGAGCAATTCTCTGACCCAGGGGCCTCTGTCTAGACAAACAAAACAGGCCACTTAGTTGAGTGGCAATCCACAAAGATCAGAGTCTGCATGGTTAGTAAAGGCAGAAGAACCACATAAGGCAAATGCTAAGAGGAGAAACTTCTATTGTTATTAGGTGGGCTAACCAACCTAAAGATTTACCTCCATCAACTGGTCCACCTCGGATTTCCAGCTGTCGGGAGAGCTCCTCCGTGAAAGCCTGGTTCTTAAATCGCCGACCAGGAGTTAGTCCACACAGAGGTTTGTCAGCAGGTCGTGCAACCTCCACTTCTTGGGTGATTTCTGCAAATCTCATGACTTGCTATCAAGATTTTTTTTTAAAAAAGCGTATTAGAAGAATGAAAGAGTATATTTGTAGCTCAGACTAGAACAGTGGATTGCTTGATCCTCTCTGAGCTTGTTTGTTTTCCTGTAAATGTTTCTCAAAACCTGCAATTTCCACAAGCCTGGGGATCCCCTGCAGAGAGGGAGCATGTGCTACCTATACAGTAGTACCTTGGGACTCGGCGTTAATTCGTTTGGGGAGGTGCAACGGACGAGTCCCAAGCCCTTTGTTTCAGCTGGAAAGAACTGTCTGTCTGTCCCTTTTCCTATGTCAGCAACCTTCCTAGCATGGCTGACTTCCTGTCCATTCCCCACAGCTGTCCCCCTCTTCCTATAGCAGCATGTTGAGTACTAAACAAAGGTCAAGTACTAGGACATTTTCACATCAAAATACAGAGAACCAAATTCAACAGGTTTTGAAGCAGCCAAGTACCAAGGTACCACTGTGTTATATATAATATCTCTCCTCACGATTTTGCTTTATTTTTTATCCATGTTGAATGTTTAACTGATTTTAACTGAATGTTTTAATTTTGATTTTATTGTCTGCCACCGAGAGTGAGATGACCGACCATATAAACTTGATAAACAGCACACCTATTCTGAAATGTGACTAGGAAGAATACTCCAGCGTTTTAAAGTTTCTATAAAGGATGGCTAACTCAGTAGCAAGGTATATATAGAGCGTGCTACCAGTTTTTGTAAATTCAAGCAACGGAAGTTAAACAACCAACTTAAATTACCAAACTCTCATCGTAGTCTTCTGCCTTTGGATTCACGCAGACAATCATACGCACTTTACCCTCACCATCAAAATAATTCTTAAAAAGATGAGTCAGTTTGGAGTCTCGGTAAGGGACCATCTGAAGAATCAAGCAGAACAAAACATTCTCAGAGTTGAGGGACTGAGAAAGTGAGGAGAGGAGGAAAAACTCTACAGAAATAGGTAACTACACACACCTTATTGGTCCCATAGGTTTGGTTCTCTCGCAGAGCTTCTATACAGGTTCTTAATGTCATCAGTGATTGATTGATATTACCTGGAAGAGGGAATGGCACTGGTCTCACAACCATCTGACGCCTAGTCACGGAACAGTTTAACTTTGTAAGAATTTCTTAATTCCCTGTTTTTGAAAGGACACGGGATTACCTCTCCTATGAAAAGGAAACAGCCACTTTGCACTTTCAATCTCCTTGGTTGGCAAAGGACAGGGAAAAAGAAATTTCCAGTTCCAATATAAGGGCCATTTTAGCTAAACTTTGGACAGTGGTCAAAAGCCATAGCTAAATTGTGGAAAGTATAAGGGGAAGATTCACAGCAGGTGCTACACCAGGCCAATCTTGGCAGATTTAGCATTGGGCTATGAGGAAATCCCAAGACTCTCGACTAAACTAGAAAATACAAAAAAATCTAGAAGACTGGAAGAAGACACACCCACCCATTCATTGGTATCAAAGCACCCACCAGCTTCACGGAGTCTGTTTCCTTCAGCTTTGGTTCTGTTTGTTCTCTCACTCCCTGCTAGATCAACCAGTGATAACTGGCTCAAGGATATTAACTCTCTCTCCTGAAAGAGAAGAAATATTATGGTTTTCAACCAGGAAGCAAAACTACATATACATATATAAAGCTGAGAATGGAGCCAGTTCCTTCTGGACTTTTGAAGGAAAGCATATGCTGCAGCCAAGATTCTCAGCAACACTTTACCATGACTTGTGCTACTGGTCTAACAATTATCACTTTTTGAAAAGTTGTCCTCTTGACAAAAGAAAGAAATCCGTTTGCTAGCCAACCTTAATTTTACCTGCAGAACATTATCTCCATCTGCACTGAGAGGAGCCTGAGCCAGTTTAATTAGAAATACACTGTGCGAACGACTCGACTCCCTATTCAGTTGAGTGTGTGCAATGCGCCTCTTCTTTTGGCCTGTTGAAAGGAAAAAAATATTTAGATCAAGTAGAGTCCAAAATCATCATAACGCAGTCAGGGCAGAATTTTAGCTATCATCTCGTGGACCTGGAATGAATGAAGAAAAAAAAACAACCCAAACAACAGAATATTGGAGCACCTTCCCTATCAGAAAAGGCAAAACCATGTAGGCTGTTTTCACGATCTTTGTAATATCTTCCCCTCCCCAGAACTTAGGTTGTCCCCAACCTGTTAACCTTCGGGAAGGCCCTAGCAACATGGCTATACCACTGTGCTTGGCGGGTTGGCAATGGTGGGGAGCTTTTACAATGGCTTTGATCAGCCTGATTCAAGGATGGACTTTGCTGATGACCATGGTTATTTTTGTTTTCAAGAGGTTATTGATTTTTATCCATGTATCTTTAACTTTTTTTATTGGATTGCTGTTTGTTGTGAGCGTAGGTGAGATAAGTGGCCATACAAATGCAATCCATCCATCCATCCTTCCTTCCAGTATTAAAACGTATGCCTGTTTGTAACCTTTAATTGGGCAAAACAGTGTGCAATAGGATAATTATTAAACCAAGATACCTCAGATAGGCTAACTTATCAAATGCAACTCCTGTAATTTACCACTGACACTCATCTGAAAATACGGACAAAAGAGAAATGCTGCACCTTATAGATGAGTTATTTTATAATTATAATCACTTGAACCATAAGGCTTAAAAAAAGAAAAAAGCAGATCAATGGGACACGGTTCAGCAAGATTTTTAGGTCATGGCTCTAAGGGAGGGGGGTTTCAATGCAGTGCCCAAGTCCTTTTGGGTTTTTTCAGGGGAAAGCCGATTATCTGGCTGGCTAATAGAGAAACAAGATAAACAAAAAATGTCTCGTTTCATCCCTCGTGGCTCTTTTACTCAGTAACTCACTGTCTTCAAGCCAAATGACTTAACATGGAGTATTTAAAGTGACATTTTCAGGAAATAATTCCATTTCTTACCTCTCCAAAACACTTCAAAGGCTTCTTCTGTAGATTTAACTTCTACCTCAGTGCAACCTGCAACATACATGTTGTGATTTTGATCCTCACGGAGAATTTTGGATTGAGGAAACCTGCAACAGGGATGTTCAAATGATGTCAGTTATCAATATTTGACAGTTACTTAAGACAATGTTGAATTAGATAAATGCATTCTAGTTTCTGCTGAGACTAATTGACAGCTAACATTAGCTTATCCACACAAGCAAAGCGGACAGAGGGAAACACAGATCATCCAGATCACACACAGGGCTGCAAGCATATTCTCTTGCCCATGCAAACTACTAGCAATAAAGAGCAACAGTCACATTAGTAGCTTCACCAGGTAGAAAGTAACCATCAATTACTACAAAAGTATGGAGGGTAATGTCCACATATGTGAAGTCAGCATTCCGCAGGGGAGGGCCACAGTTGTTCCACCAACCAAAGAAAATAATTTCCCCCCCCCAGTGACTTTTCTTGTTACTAAATATTCAGCTGAAGAGCATTTCCCTAAGAATCACTCATTGTGGCAGCTACTTGGAAAATATTCCTGTGCCCCTGTTAAAGAATTGTTCAAATTTTGTCAGCAATTAATAGTTATACCAGGCTAAACCAAAGAGTATCAACAGTAAAAACACCAGCCTTAAAAGCAAGTTATACTTAGCAATGTTTCGATAAGGTGGATTTCTAAAACATATTTTCAAAGGCTATGAACACGGGAAAGCTACGTCTCTCTGAATTTAGCGCTCAAAACAGTATGATGCTGCTACTGTCTTGTTAGGCAGGCTTAGAACCAGACAGAACCTATTTTCCCCAAGCGGTTGGATGTATATCAACCGCTGGATCTATAATCTGCTATTTATATATATTATCTTTCCTTGAATCTAAATCACTAGACTACAGTTTTACTTGCATTTACTACAGCGGGATTGTTAGCATAGCTCCCAACTGAAGAAAAACTACTCACTTTGGTTTTGTGGGATCAAAAGGGGATTCATCCAAAAGATCATAAATGTAGTTATTATAGATTTCAATGTAAGACACAAACACGCTGTAGACACTGTCTTCATCAACATCCTCCGGTTTACAATTATCTTGCACATTGATCATGTCAGCAATTTCAGGGTCTATCTGTCGCCTGCCAAGGTGAGTGAGAGTCATCTGCAGTTACCCATTCCAGGAAACATCCACCACATTCCTGAATTATCCCAGTCAGCCAGAGCCACTTACTTGCCCACCGGTGTCTTGGGAACTGGAAGTGCTTCTCTTTTATGGCGTTCAAGTAAAGCATCCACATCGCATTGTACCTCGACTCCATTCTTATCATCAAGTTTGAAAACCTGGGGATTAAGGGTCACGGGAAAAATAAGGGGTCGCTTGCCAAGAGATACTCAGAAAGTGTTATTTAATTAGTTATGCAACAGTAATGAAAGCAGCTGAGCCGCTGATCCTGGCCAGGACTGCTTGAGTTCAGTTGAAAAAGCAAATGATTCTACCTGAGACTGCCTCCCTCCCTCCCTCCCATAATTTTAACGTTTAAAATGCATCAAGTACAATCAGATATTTCCTTCAGAACAACCTATTTTCAGCAAACTGTTTGTGGAAACAGGAGGGTACTTCATCTCCACTTGCTTCCCCCCCTTCTCTTTCCCAATTTCCCTTCTTTTCAAAGGCTCCTCCTTCTTTTCATCCATGTCTTATGGCTATCAACTTGGTGATTTTTTTAGGCTCTTGTATTTGTGTTAAGCTGCCAATTCCCAAGACTTGGAGACTGAACTCACGTAGCGCTTGGCCTGAAAGGGCCCTATGCTCTTGAAGATCATGTCCAAGCAACGAGGAAGCAGACCTCCCTCCCCTGGGGAGCCAGTCATGGTGTGCGTTTTTCCACTCCCCGTGACTCCATACGTAAAGAGGAGACCTAGAATTCGAAAGCACAGAGACACCATTAATTTTGTTGTATACTGCATGAAAATACTTTGCCATATTTTTTTTTGCCATCTAATGAGGAACTTTTAAATATAGCAAGTTACCAAGAAGTCCAAATCATCAATTGTCAATGGACTTGGCAATGCAGTGGATCAGGTGTGTTTTTCCCCCCGATGCCTTCTTCCAAGATTTTTTTTCTAATTTCTCAGTCTCACTGATCTTTTACTATCATATTCAATCCTGTTTCCATATTATAAAACCTTTGACTCAAAACATTTCAAATTTGAAAAGGTAATTCTGAGCTCAAAACTATATAGGTGTTCTGAGAACTTTATTCATAGTTCTGAGCACTATGATTAAATTAATCCTTCTTTGACAATTTTCCATCATGTACTACCACTAATAGTTAGTAGTATAGCAGGAAATAAGTTGTTCATATTGTTTTTTAATTAGTTATTGCATCTAAACAAGGGAAAAGGTTACATACAAGAGTATTAACAATCTAACTTAACTTAATTAATTAAATTAAAATTTAAAAGAAAAATGGCTTGGAATATTTAACATAACAGTTCTAAATGTTTGATAATTACCCAAGCCTTTTTCCCTGACCCTTGAGGGAAAAATAATTTGCTAAATTAAATGTTGACCATCACAAAACAATCCAATCCACTGTTGCAAATCAGATTTTTCCTACCTTTATTGCATGAAATTGTTTTGAGTTGAATATATTGCTATAAAGCATTCTGAAGTAAATCTAACTTAAAATCCAAAACTTTAAATTTTACTGCCCAAATAGTATCACTTTGGGATAGAGCTGAGGAAGCTTCTTGGATAAGAAGCAAAACGTCTTCAAAGAAAAATAAGAAAGTCCAGTTGCCTCTTGAAAAAGCACCTTTGAAACCAGGAAGGTTTACTGAGTACTGGAGGAACCAAACTGGCTTACAAGAAAGATCAAATGAAGAATAGTAAGTAGACATGGTAAGACAAGTTATTACATGGCCTGTACATTAAAAAAAATGTTAATCAGTCTGCAAAAATGGTATTATTATATTAATACTATTAATACTGCAGTGGTTAGAAGGCAGTTTCATATTGCTAGTCTAGAGACAGATTCAGTCTTAATAACTTAATTACATCATACCATTTTTTCCATGGATAAGATCTTCCACTAGAGGTTTAGCAATCACATCAAATACATGTTTCTGAGAAATGCTTGTGCCAAATACTTCTTTAAATGAATACTGAACCTAGAAAAAAAATTTAAGAGTTAGGAAGCAATTAACCAGCAGTTTTACCCATTTGCTGTTTCACCTAGTCCTCTCATTGATTTTCATACTGCATCAAAGTTTTGAATACACAACTGCTTAATAGTCAATTTATCTAATGCTCTAGCAATGATACTATTTTCTTGAAAAAGAGTAACTAGTACAAAAAAAATCTGAAAGTTTTTATCTCCCTGTAATAATGTTGAATGCCATTTGGTAGGTGAATCAGTATTGGCACAAGCAAGTTTTTCTTCATGCATTATGTATTTCCAGCAACAGAATCACTAAATAAAACCTCAGTATGATCACAAGCTTACTAACAAAAATTCAAACAGGAATTGTAATCCTATACATGCAGACTATGATAAACCCAGCCGCCTTAAATGACACAATCCCAATAAAAGTGTAGACTGAAGCCCACAGCTAACAATAGCACATTTTCAATGCGAACTACCTCTTTATATTCTCCATTACGGGCAATACGGTACCCATCAGGTGAGTGAACCTGGACTGTTGTGCTGCTGATCACTTCTATGCAACACTCTTGGTTTGGGACACCGACTGGGCGGATCCGGCAATACACCTGAACAGAGAAAAAATGTACTATTTAGAAACACCGGCTTAAGATTGTTCTCCTTGTTTACAGAGCACATATCAGAATGGAAAGTGTTTACAACTAGTCCTCAACTTACAATTGAACCCACAATTTCAGTCATACGTTAGGCCACATGACCACCTGATTTTACCACCTTTTTCCCCCAATAGTCATTATGCAAACACAGCAGCCATTAAACCAGGGGTGTCAAACTGCCGGCCCATGGGCCGGTTTCATCATACTGAAGCCGCGCCCACCCCATTGCCGGCAATGGCAAAACCGGCCCAATACGTTGCGCGATGTCGCGAGTTTGAGACCCATGCATTAAACAAACTTATTGTTTGTTATGGGGCAGCTTTTGCAGGAAACAGAAGTAAATGGTGGTTTTCAATTAAAAGCTCATAAATTGTAGTCATGTGGCAGCAGGGTGCTGCAGACAGTTGTAAATGTGGGCCAGCTGCTAAGGTCTCAAAATGTGGTCATGTGATTTGGGGGGGGACCACCACCAGGTTTTGGAGTTTTAAAACCAAAATTCAAATTCAAATTCAAATTTATTTGATTTATATACCGCCCTTCTCCCTTGCGGGACTCAGGGCGGTGAACAGGCACATTAATAAAACAGCAATATAAGTCCCATTTTGGGGGATACATTGTAACTTTAAACAGTCACTAAGCAACTGGTCCTAGGTTAGGACCATCTGTACTAGCATCAGAAGATCAGTCCAATGGTTTGCAGCTCGTGTGCGCTTTAGGGCATCGATCTATTTAGGTTGGCAAGCTCTGAAATTGCCTCGACAAAACATCTGCTGTTTCTGGGGTTTAAAACAAGCTGGGTGAAAAACCACTTGCCCAGAATCAAGGAAATGCTAAATTCTAAATGAACCTTTCAAAACAAAAAAAAATTAAAAAAATGTGTCAATCTTTATTTTGCCTCTCCTCATATCAGAAAAACATAGTAAAAACATAGTACTGTGTTTTCCCCAAAATAAGGCCGGGTCTTATATTTTTTTGGGACCAAAAGGCCCATTAGGTCTTATTTTCAGTGCAGGTCTTATTTTCCCCATGTACAGCAGGTGGTGAGTGCGCGGGGATGGGACATTCGATACAAACAACGGGGCACGGCCTGCACATGGGGTGGAGACGCAGAGCTTTGAAGCACAGCAGTGATTGGGTCAACATCGGAGCATGGGGCAGACCAACTACCGGCATGAGAAAGTCTGGGCAGGGTGGTGCATGCCCTTCCCGTGCCAGGCCGGCCCCTGCAGCCCTGCGCTTGGACTTACCTGCGTTGTGCCAAGGGGCTGCGATTGCCAGCAGTTTGAATCTCACTGCCTCAGGGTTGACTCAGCCTTTTAGCCTTCCGAGGTCGGCAAAATGAGGACCCAGATTGTTTGGGGGCAATAGGCTGACTCTGTAAACCGCTTAGAGAGGGCTGTAAAGCACTCTGAAGCGGTATATAAGTCTAATGCTACTGCTAATTCATATACAAAGGAATTCATAAAATAAAGAAGTCCAGCTTTCATAATCAAATCCTACAATATACAAGAACTGATTGAAGAGCTAATTCTGCTGTAAATTAGCCACTTACCCCAACGGGATCCTTCAAACTATTGTTAGACACTTTTTTAAATGCATGTTTCCTCGGAGTTTTAGTTCTTCTGGAAGTTAATAAATGTCAGATAAGTTACAAATAAAATCAAAGATGCACTCTACACAAAGCAATCAGCTGAAATGATTTATGGGATGCTCTGTTGCAGCAACGTAGAGCCAGATCAAAGCAGCCACAGAGGCTTTTAAAAGCAGCTAATTTAAGTAGTATTACATTATTAATACAAACAAACAAAGTGTGAAGAATGGGTGGGCGTGCCACATCTAAAAGAAGAGGCACAACAACTGCATGCAAGACCCTCTTCTTGAAAGTGCCACCCCTCCTGCTTCATCAGACTCTTCTTACAAGACAAAAAAAAAGACGCTCAGCTCTTCCCTCGGCGTGGCTGGCTCAGGAATTCTGGGAGTTGAAGTCCACGAGTCACAAAAGGGCTAGCTGTTTGCCCACCCCTGGCCCAGTTCCTTCGCACCGCTGCTCCCCCCGGAACCCAGGCCCAAGGCCGGAGCAGCTCGGCGCCCCCAACCGGGTCAGCGCAGCCCGGGGCGAAGGGACGTCCCGGCTCTGCCGGCGCCGCCTCGTCCGGCCCGGCCAGCCTCGGAAAGGAGCGAGGAAAACTTACCCCGCCGCCTTCATCGCGCTTCCCCGACCGAGAGGTTCAAACGCTCCCTCCACTTCCCGGCGTCCGTTGCACCGCCCCGTTATTCAAATAGAGCCAATCAGGAGAGGGGGCGGGGCAGAAGGAGCCGCTCGCCCCCTTTCGGGCGTGTTTGGTTTGTGACGTCCACAGAACTGGAGAGGTTTCGTTTCTCTTGACTGGTGGACTTCAACTCCCAGAATTCCTGAGCCAGCCACGCTGAGGGGAAAGGGAGAGGTTTCCAAGCTGAGCTATGCTGGCTCAGGAATTCTGGGAGTTGAAGTCCACCAGTCATAAAAGAGCCAAGGTTGCCTACCCCTGCTCTAACTAACCCATTCCAAAGTATCATCTCCCCGCCCCCCTTGCTCTAATGGCAAGATGAAAACAAAGAGGCATGTAGCTGCCAAATTTTCACCCTTGACATGTTGTTTATAAACTGCCCAGAGTCATTTAGGTGAGATGGGCAGTGTAGAAATTTGAGAGAGAAAGGGAGAGGGAGAGGGGGAGAGAGATGCAGTGAGGTTTTTGCTCTTGCAAGGTGTAGCTCAGGTGGCTGGTTTCCTTTTGGGGAAGAATGGCCACGATGACCCAGTTGCTACACCTTTTTTATCCATTCAGCATAAAATTGCTCCTATCTATTGTAACCTGGGCTTCTCCCGGGCAGGGTCTGATGAGGTGAGAGTATTGTGGTATGATGTCTTGGCTTTTACCTGGAATTCAGTTCCGCTTCTGGACTCCGGAGGGAGTGGACTGGGTGCTCTGCAGCATTTGCTCTGTTGTGTAGGCTGGGACTGTTAACTTTCTGCCCCCTCCGATAGTCTGCGGATGCTGAGGAGTGACAGTTATAGGAAGGCCCGTTTCAAATGAATGTTGGGAGCTAATGACATAAGGAGAAAATCTCCAAGCTTCTCTTCATTGGATGCATTCAAGAAGATGCTGGATAGCCATCTGGCTTGATCTGGGTTGCTGATATGAGCCAGAGATTGGACTCGGTGACTTTGATCGTGCCTTCCAACTCTGGGCTCTATGTTCTTATGAAGCAGCTTTTCTGGGAGCCTCTCAGGATTATAAACATATCTGAATTTCAAAGCTAAAGGAATGGGAAACAATAAGTAAAAGTGTGAGATTGCATGACTCTGCTTCCAGGAGGGCCTTGGCTTGACTTGAGCAGAGCAGCTTTCTTTACAGGAATACTAAGTGAAATGCACTTTTTCCTCTGTGTTAATGATAGCTACTATGGTTATTTCCCTTGCTTAGTAAATTGCTACTTTTATTATTTCAATGTGTATATGATTAGTCAGTGTTTCTAGACTCATACTTAGCAACGCTCTGCTTTTCATAGCATTGATTTCCACTTAGTTACTGTCAGTCTTTTGATTTGATTCAGGGTACTTTTAAAACATATGCATCTTGTATCTCTCTCTCTCTCTACACACACACACACACAAAATGTTTGTATAAAATTAAGGCAACAAGTAGCAATCAAAGCTTTTCTGCAACTCTTTGTCAAAATTAGGCTTCTGTCTGAACCACCCTCTCACTCATCCAGCATCTCAGAATGGCCTGCATCAAATGGAGCAAAACCTGAGCATATTTTTTTCCTGCCATTCTAACTATGCTGCTCTATACAGCGATTTCCCAAGTTTTGGTTGTGTTCTCTTTTAATTGCTCTAAGCCAGCTATGTTAGTCACTGTGTAATGTACCCAGCAAATGAGGCATTTAATGAATCATACAAATGCTGCACTCCAAGGAATTAAGTAAATCTAGCTGTTTATTAGCGAGGCATAAAATACATTTAATCTCTCTTCTTAAAAAATCAATTATAATGCTGTAATATGTAATTCAGTTTGGTCGTGCTACATAAATTTTCTTATTTTAGTACATTTTTAAACTGGTTATATTATTAGAGTCTGCCTTCTCTATTGTAGGAATGAATATTTATGTCAGGGTTCCGATAGATGAGACCAGTTAAAAGAACTTCAAGGGAAGGAATTCTTCCTCAAAGAACATTTTTATTGAGTTACAAAATAACGGCACGTACATAGGTGAACCCAAGACTAAATTCTGCTTCCCCCTGCTTACAAAGTTGCAAAGTTGCAGTTCCCACCCCAATTAGATGTCATAAATAATATTCTCCAATTGTTACTAAAGGTGGGCACTCCTCCCAGATCTCTAGCCCAACAAAATGTAATCAGCAATGACCTTGGTTCCCATACCTAAGAATTGTTATGGCTAACAGCTCTGTTCTATTCTAAAACATCACAGAACTGGCCCTCCCTAGTTCTCTGGAACAGAAAGGCAAGAGGACGGGGCACATTCAGACTTGCAGGACTGTGTTACTGAAACCTTATAATGAAAGTTGTGTTAGTGTTCGTGATTTTGATTTCATAATCTGAACTACCTTGAAGGGTTGGCAGATTTCTAGCCTAATGCTGGAATAGTACACCAAACTGGGGGTCTATGGAACATTGTGCCAGTAGGTTAATCATCATCTAAAAATAGCTATCAGCCTACCTAACAACTAAATGCCTATAATGTGACTCCCTACATTGTTTTCTGTAAGCATTTTAGCACCCTTCCTGCTTCCCCTCTCAAATTAAACCGCCTAGGGTTGTAGTAGGATAGATAAGAGATAGCTGCCTGGCTTTGACTCTGCCATTGACATGAAAATAGGATTGGAATTACTCTGTTTGAAAGGTTAGTTGAAGGTTATTAAAGGAAAATTGTTATTCATACATTTCCTCCTTCCCCCGTGCTAGCCTGAAAGATTAAATTCGCAGAGAGCATAATGACCCTTCAAGGCAGACAATAGAGGAGAAATCTCAGGGGACTCCAGATAACAGAGCGGAAAATGCCACTGAATAATTCATGGAGTGGCATGACAGCCATTCCTTTGCTAACAGATTACATGTGCATTTCCATTAGGAAGAAGACTATTTTTTAAAAAAATGGGTACTGTGAATGGAAGTGGCGTCATAAGAATTCTGCACAAATTTGTTTCTGCATTAATCAATTTGATTTTGTCAGGTCCCTGTTGAAATGCTGCCATTCCAAAGGAAGGGGCAGCACAAATTGTGAATTGAGGATGTTTCCAAATTGTGTCTGCTTTCGCTTTGATGTAAGGGCTAGCAAGGACGAGGCACCAGAGAACGGCTGGTTATCACTTTTTCGGCTCAAAGTTCTCACAACATCTTCATGCCAGCGGATTGGCTCCTGATGAACTGGGGGCATTGGGGTGGGGCTCGTAAAAAGTGACTTTCAGCTTAATGCTTTGCGGGGGAACTTCAGATTTTGCCTTACTTCTCTGCAATCACTTTCTCTCAGTAAAAGATCCTTTGGAACCACTGTGTGCTATCCACAGGTGGTTTATCATGGTGAGAAAGCTAGAGAAGTGAAAGTTCTGTTTTGGCGAACAGAGAATGTTTCTCATAACTATTATTGGGAATTCTATTGGACAATGTGACTGGACCGGTCAGAGGAGAGAGGAGGAGAGTTACTCTTTTAATTAATCGCTTCCCGACTTTCCATTTCGCTTTCTAACTTGCCGCTATGATTCAGCCCATTAAAGATAACATTAGAGGACTTTTTGACTATGATGTGTTTCTTGGTAGGGATTTCAGGCAGAGGTTGACACTAAGCTGGCTCTCTTAAACTAGCAATACCATTAAAGGGGTACCATGATAGGGTCCTCCCCTATCCGGTAGCCTCTGGGAAGGTGGCTACTCCTGCCAATTTAGTGTCATCTGCAAATTTGATGAGTTCCCCTTCAATTCCCTCATCCTGAATTCCCTGTCCTTAAAAAAGCTGAAAGGGTTTGGGTTTTGTTTTTTTTTGCTTTTTCTTTAATCTCTTTTTCCTAATCCATCTTTTTATTGCTGGTGGTTTTATATTTTATCTTTTGCTGAAGCCTAATAATATTTTTTTAAAGAATAAAAAAGGAAACCTACCATTTATAAAAGATGCCTATTAGTCACGGGAAGCTTCTGCATTACCAGCGTTTGCTTGTGGCCTGCTGCATTGAGAAGCATTAGCCGCCTCCAGCCAGGAGGAGTACTCGAGCGCACACTGGCAGCAAACAATTGTTCTTTATGACTCAATTACAGTAATTAAATCTGGTGGGATTCAGCAGTGGAAGAGATGATGGCGGGGGAGCCAGCGAAATGTTATGCTCCGTGTCATCAACGAGAGAGAGCAGCAGCTGATGGATCCTCCAAGCTGCCTCTCGCCATCTGTTCCGGGAGCAGGAGACAAGGGGATGGAGGCAAGGAAACCGGGCATGGAAAGGGCACTGAGCATGTCTCCCGATATCAGGATTGAACAAAAGGTCTCCATTTCAGCCAAAGAGGACCCCCCCCCTTCTGGGTTATGGCTGTACCTCCCAGTTCTGGAGAGAGGAATTAACGAAGTTTGGGTGATGGGCTTGCTTAGGGTCACATGAATGCACAAGACACAAAACGCTGCTTAGCAATAACCACATCTGTGCTCCCCTTTGACAGTTTCCTTCACCTTGGCCTGGTTTCGTACAGCCTCCTATACACCCAAGTGCTCCTCAATTGTTTTCTTTTATAATAATAATAATGATAAAGTTGGAAGGGACCTCGGAGGTCATCTAGTCCAACCTCCTGCTGAAAAAAACTTCATGTGCCATGGAAGCCCAAGTGTTTTCTCCAGAGACCACTTATAGTGGGACACAAATGTCTTACCTGTCAGTATCTGTCGAAGAAGGCTGGTCTCTAGGTCAAGATAAAGTGTGTGAAGTTCTTGGGGTTCATGAAAGGAAGGAAGATGGGACTCTAAAGGCTTGTCTCAGGTAGGACAATGACACAAGACTTACCAATTACCAGCCGCAGCTACAGCTGGAAAGACTGCAGACATCCGGCTACAGAAACAACTTCTTCCAAACCTTTTCCCATTTACACAAACACATGGGATGCTGCACCAGTTCCCTCTGGAGTGGAGGACTGTGGCACCAAGAGCAGGTGTTAACTATTCACCATTAAAAGCACATCTTTTCAAGTCTAAATCATGCCAGCAACCTTTAGCCTTTTTTGCTCCCTAATTTAATGAGTTATTACACAGTCTACCAAATATCAATTCCTTTCTCTTGATGCGAGAACTATCCAACTTTGAAATCTGTAATAGTGCAGCTTATTTGGACAGTCTCGCAGACCCCTTCCATGTTGCATGACAAGCCAAACACTGACTGGGCAGAAGAACTCAAGTCTTCAGGACACCAAGGGCTGCCTCAATGGGGCCACCAGAGATGCTCCATAGAATATGGGGCTTATGCATTTCACAAATGACTGGAACAGAGTAAGGTTGGAAAATGGCAGAATTAAACTCCAGTTCTATCCAAGCAATAAGTGCCAGTGACTCCGACATTGAAATTCTCTGTCTAGCTGAGAATAAATCTCAGTGAAATCAGAGGCACTTCAAAGATCAACAAACATCTCTGCTGTTGCAGCATCTCCAATAGCTTAAATAGCCAATCTCCCTGAAGGAGAACCCATTCATTTCCAAAGCCAAAGCTGACTTCTTATGCCATCGGAAAACTTCCTTCACTATTAGCCAGAAGTCTTTTTTTTTTTTTTTTTTGCAGTTTGGACCAAATGTTTATGTTCATCTTGGTTCACCTGCAGAAATGCACATGGCATCTCCATGACCCAACCCAATGCCACATGCAAACTAGCTTAAGCGCCTTCAGCTTAAGCGCCTTCACCCAACCCAATGCCACATGCAAACTAGCTTAAGCGCCTTCAGCGCCTTTCAGTGGAAGGAAAAACACACTCAACCCGATTTGGCATCCCAGACAAAGAACCTTCCACTCCATCTTCCTTTGTGTACCAGCATGGCCTTTAATAGAAACAGGTAGTTGTTTTTTTCACCATTAAGCTATAGTTACCTTTTTAAAAACCAGATCAAAATCAACAATTAAAAAACAATCCATAAAATGTGGTATAAAAATTCTTTTTCATATGCTACATTACAAGGCAAGATCTTCTGCTACACAAATATGTAATTTCCCATGTTTAATTTTATTTACTCCTTTAGTACAAAAATGCCAGAAACGGGTCTCCCTCCCTGCCCCCTGCCCCACATACAACTGTTGCTCAAGCCAACAGGCTGAAACACTAATTGCCAAAAGCCACAGAAATCCCATCGTCCACCGTCCCGTACAGAAACCATGTTCGTTAGTAAACTTAAAAAACAACCTGCATTTAAACGTTATCTATTACTTTACTTTCATTGGAGTAAAAAAAAACAAAACCCCACCACAAGTTGCTATTATCTTTTTCTTGGCTCCCTGAGCGTATTAGTTAACTGTTGTGTTCTTGAACACCCATCCTCTCAGTGTTTGGGTCTGAAGGCTGTGGTGGGCAAGAGCCCACTTGGGGGGCAAGGCATCCTCTTGCCCCAACTGATAAGTGCTTCGAAAACAGCAGCTTCTCCACTGCATCAGAATCAGGAGAGACGAATCCAACCGGAGGCTCAAACCGGGCCCAGAGAAGACTTAAGGCCAGAAGAACTGGTTCACACATCCAACAGAGAAAACCATTTCACGGAGGACACCTTTGCTCAGGCTGCTGACAAGGCTGGTAAGAGTATCTCCAAGCATATTTTCAAGGGAAGGGCAAGGTTGGGAGGAAAATGATGGTGGCTACCACCAGAATGGAAGCAAAACTGAAGCAGTACAGAGTGAGAGCAGACCAAGGAAACAGCAGCAGCAGCAGCAGTAGAAAACAAAGAGGACAACAACACGCTGCTGACCAGCAGACCAAGGAAGCCTCAGCATGAAACTCCTCTGTTATCTACAGTTCCTAAAAGTCTGCTGGGGAAATAAGACCTGCGGGCTCCTCCTGAATCCAAATCCAGGGGGTTAGCTGCCTTCTGATCAGAGGTGTGAGGACCGAGAACCGAGAGAAAAACACAAACCAGCATGGACAATGCACTGCCACCGATCAGCTGGACTGAGCTTCCAAGTTCCTTCCAGAGTTATTCCAAGGTCATCACAGAAGATCCACCCAGGTCCCAAAACCCTCCAGAGGGCATCAAAGGAACCTTCAGCTGCTCTCCTTTTGTGTTCTTCTCCCAGAGTCATTAGTCAAGTCACAGCTACTCAGTAGATGACTTCGTAAACTGTGGCCTTCTTGTCACCGGAACCTGTGACAATGTATTTGTCATCTGCTGAAATATCACAGCTTAAAACGGAAGAAGATTCTTTTGACTTGATGGGGAAAATAAAAAGAAGAAACAATCCCTTTTAGTTTTCACAGGATCAGAGAGCAATATCAGCAAGTGTCTTCCTTGTGCTTACATGCACATCCCTCTGCAACGACGTGCAGGCAGCAAGAAAATGGAGAACAAACATGCAGATGGGCTCTCTTTGCCAGGACATGGTACAAGTTGCAGACCGCTCAAGACTCGGAGGAGCCATGCCTGCTCCCCCCATCAGCCCCCCCCTTTCCCCAAGGCAGGGGAAGGCTCTCACCTGGAAGATGCTGGCTCCATAGGGAGTCCTCCAGGCATTGAGGAGGTTGTCTTTGCCAGTGCTCACAAACCACTTTCCTACAGACACAAACCGGGCATTAGCTTTCCCAACAAGAAAACAAGGCTGGAATGAGGATCGCACCATTAACCCAAAGGACTTTCTTAACTCCCTGCCAAGAAGCCAGTGCTACAGGTGATCCAGCCTCTTCCCTGCACTGGCTAGGGGCCGTCCTACTGTTCTCACCTTTTCTCAAAATGGGCAGGACACCTACCGGCCACCTGCCTCCCCTGAATGCTGCAGGAGTAAAAAGCCGGCTGCAGAGGCTTAGTTGCAGCTTCAGGAAATGTCTGGTTCCTCCAGCCTGCAGGAGGAGATTTCCCAGGTCTCCAGCAGCCTTTTCCTACCCCCTGGGAACCACCAGGATTCAGTCCCTGCTGTTGAATTGCACGAGGCACTCACCACAGTAGGCAAACTTCAGGGAGAGGACACAGCTTTCGTGGAGGTGGAGCTGGTATTTGTCAGGTTTGGTGTGATGCAGCACTTCCACGTTGCTGCTCTCCAAGCCCACCGCGAGCCACTCGCCTGTCGGGCAATAGCCGAGCGAGAAGATCTACAAAGGAGACAAGGAGCAGCTGCTGGGAGGTGCCTCTCGGCTCAGTCCGACTCCCGCAGGGCCTAAGGCTGAACTGAACTGCTCCCAAAGCAAGGAGGAGAAAGGTCCCTGCTGGCTCTACTGCCAGGCCGCCTGCCCTGCAAAAGAAAACGTCCCTGGGACACCCCTCCCTCTTTTTTCAGCATCCGGTTATGTCTTATTTCAGATTGTCTTTGCCTTGAAAACAAAATCCCCCTGTTGGGTTTCATGAATTTCAAATCCCATTAAGGCTGGGATTCCAGGAGCAGGTTTGGTAGCTGCAATGGGCCACAAATAACCCCCTGGGCTCCTTTTGGTCCTAGGATCCACCTCCATCAACATGGGGAAAGCTTTCCGAGTACCTTCTGCCACCGCTGGACTCCTGCACTGACACTTCAGAAGCCATGTGGGCCCAGAGAACTGGGAAGGGGGGGGGAAACCCGTTGTTCGTAATCTTCACTTCTTGGTTGGTCCTTTTAGTTCTTCCTCCCTGCACGGAATCAGGCCCAGAGAGGCTGGGTCTCTGGGCTCAAGGCAAAGCTCACCTGGGAAGTGAAGTCATGTTGCTGTAGCTGCCTGCCTTCCCGAAGGTCCCAGGAGCGCACAGTGTTGTCCAAGCCCCCCGTCCAGAGTTTGGTGCCATCGTGGGAGATGTCAATGCAGCTGGCGCCGTCCGTGTGACCCTGGAACTGCCTGCGAAGGGAACCAGGACAAGGAAAGAGAGTTTCACTGTCTCCTGTCTGAAGCTTCTCTTATTTATTGTTACTTATGAAATTTACAGAGCCGCTCAACTCAATTCATTCTGACCAGCTTACAATAAAAACCCCAGTAACTACCCACACATAAGATGGTGGGCACTAAAACTAATAAAAGAAGTAACAAAGCCCGATCATACAAAGTTCCTACTGAAAGGGCGTCCCAGCGCCTGGGGAAAGGACAGACTTTCACTTCAAGGACAGCAAAGTCAGGCAACGCAAACTCCTCCAGGGATATTGCTCCAGATGGGAAGTGACATCACTGTGACGGTACGCTCCCTAGGACTCATTATGGACCCTGTTTTAAGGATGGGTCCCTGGGCAGACACAAGGGGGGAAGGCAGTCCTCGGATAAGCAGACCACCCCATGGCTGAATATATGTTTCTATCGTACCCGGATGCTCGCTGGTAACTAGCACAACTCTGATACCTTAACTGCTGGTAACCATCCCTATGGCTGCCTTCTGGGTCAGCTGCAGCCCCAGGAGGGCACAGGGCAACACTCCACACATGGGTGGCTATGAGAAAGGAACCCTGGCCCAGATGAAGGCACACCTGGCACATCAGATGAACCTGGGCAAAGGTTTTCTTGACCACTTTCTCCTCAAGCAGAAACTGGGGATTCATGAACCCAAATTTCTTCCCTTGCAAGTATGAGAAACATCTGGCTGACATCCTGAAGGAATTCTCAGGCATCTGGCTGGAAGTCTGGAGAGCCAAGCAACGTAGCTAACGAGTCACGGGGATGAGAGCTTGGGGCTCTCGGTCAGGATGAATGCTAGCAAGCAAGGAAGGGCTTGAATAAGCAGCTCTTCCTGTTCGCCCCTATTTGGCTTCTCCTATTTTATTTCCCAACGGGCATAATTTTGTTTTGCCAGACAGCGAGAAGCCTTCCTTCTCCTAAACAAAAGCACACGGAAGCAACCTGCAGACCCCTCGTACCAACAACCACTCAGATTTGGGGAAGCTCACCTAACCAGTGTCTGGTTGTGGAGATCCCAGACGGCAATATTTCCATCACTGCAGCAGGAGAAGCACACTTTGGCATCTGGGCTGATGGCCAAGGCATAGCAGGCAGGGGCAGAGGAGGTCAGTTCTGCCTTGATTCTGGGGGTAGGGGAAGCCAGGTCCCAAATGGTGAGGGTGCTGGCCTCTCCCCCTACAATAAGTGTGCGCCCATCGGGGAGGAGTTTGCAGGAACGGATGTAGTTATCCCTGTTCTGGAGAGGGAAATATCTGCAGTGAACCACACAACAGTAAAAGTTATGGCAGGACCCCTTAAGAAAGGCCTGAAGATCCACCTGCTTCAATTATATTGGGATAACTCTTTGTGGAAAAAGGAAAATAAGTATTATTTATTTATTTATTTATTTATTATTTAAATTTATATACCGCCCTATCTCCCTTACGGCACTCAGGGCGGTGAACAGGCGATAATAAAAATCACAATAAATATTAAATAAAAAGCCTGCTCTAAAATACCCCATATAAAAGCCCCTACCAAAACACAATCAAAACTACACCAGGCCGGCCACATGGAATAGATGGGTTTTTAAACATCTGCAAGGCTTAGGGTGCCAAATTTAGCTTGATTTTTTTTTAAAAAAAACCAAACACCACAACTATCTCTTCCCCCTAAAAAAGCAATGACATTGGCTGGCCCTAAGTAGTGATCTCATCTCCAGTTACATCTTTTCTGGCCTTCAGAACCTGATGCTCCCCCCGCCCCCAAAAGGCCACCTTGCCCGTCCTGCTGCTATAGGCAGAGTTGGTGAAGAACTTTTTTCCTTGTGACCGCCCAGCCACGCTCACCCCTGGGCAGCCCACAGCCACTACAATAAAAATGATAGGAAACCAATCAACACTGTGCATGGTGTGGTCCCCAAAGCTTGGAATCATCACAGCAAGGTGGGCTCACCCCACAGCCTGGCCCAGGGCTCAAAGGAATCGCTGTGGGTTTACCTTCAGAAAGGCCAGCAAAGCCAGGCCAGCCAAGCCTTGTGAGGGGCATACATGCCATCCTTCCTTTCCCGTAAGATATCACAGTTAAAAGAAGGGAGCAAAGTGTGTCTCCTCTGCTGGATCTCATGGGACAGGCAGAAGTAAGTGGAGGTGGGCAGCCCCACGAACAGCCTGGCTGACAGCTCAGTAGGTGATTATTTTCACCCTGAGTCCCCCCCCCCACACAGACCTTGGTGCGAGTTCTAATCCAGGTTCAGACAACTGCCAGCCCTGCCACTTACCAAGCAATCTAGCTGGGAGACGGGGCTCTTGGCGCCCGGCTGGCTGATATCCCAAATCTTCACGCAGCCCTTTCCCCCGGTGTACACGTGCCTGGTTGGGTTGCTGATAGTCACGGCACACACCACTTCGCCATGGCTCAGGGTATTGATCTGACGGGCATGGCGGGGGATGCCAGGGCCGGCCAGGGCATCGTGAGGAAATGGAACTGGCTGCATCTGCCCGTCTGTACTCACATGAAAGGAGTAAGCCCTAGGGAGAGGACAGGGAGGGGGCGGGGGGGAAAGAGAAGACAAGGGCCAAGGCAGCTTTTGTTACCCAGAGCTGAGCCCTGCTCGGGCAAAGCCTTTTCAACGACCGGATTAACCTCAATTCTACAATCTCCCAACGCACCGAGGGCTGCACAAGGCTCCATCCTCAACCTCCTCCGCTGGCTCCACAGATCGTTATCACCTACAAGCTCTCTTTGTGGCACCTGCCACATTTTGGAAGCCAAATAACACCCCGCCCCCATCCTTAGTAAGTAGCTGCCTTTCTACAGAACAGGATTCAAGACTAAAAAAGTTTGAACTGGGGGAACAAAGGCTTAAAGCAACTTACGGTTTGCCGCCAGGAATGGACGCCAGGCTGGAGGGCAGGACAGGAGCCCTCATTGGTGGATGGGGGTCAAATCCAACCTAGAAATGAGATTTTTTGAAAGGCGTTCAATAAAAGAGGGGCCCCCAACCTGTGGGCCACAGCCCACTACCAGACCGTAACCTAATTGCCACCAGGCCGCGTGAGTGGCTGGTCAGTGTGCGCACATCTGCCTGCACACTGCCTCATTTGCACGAGGGTCACATCTATAGTAGATGTCAGGTCAAATGGGTTGGGTAAATGGAGCTGTAGAAGTTCATAAACTGTGTTTTTTTTAATGTACATTTATTTTTTTTGTCCTGTCTAATTTTGCTTTGTTGTTGTGTTTTCTTTTTTTTCCTTTTTTGAAATTTGTATTTTAATGAATAAAAAAAAAATTATTGAAAAGAAAAGAAAATGAGTGCGCTCTTTTCCTGCAGGGGTGACCGCGAGGTTCTCCATCTCTGCCCTGCCCTCCCCCCCCCACCCGCACCACATAGAAAGGAGCTTAAAAGGTCTACGTACAGCTCCAAAGCTCACCATTGGTGACCGGCCATAGGCAACAGCGGCAGCGGCTGTCATTTGAGGGGGGATGTTGTGCAGCCCTGCATAGGCCCCAGGGCTGGCAAGGGAGCCGTTCATCTCGTGATGCCCCATCATAGCAAAGGGGGCAGCATAAGAGCCGGTGAGGGAGATGGGAGTCCTTAAGGCAGATGCTAGAAGAAGTCAAAGAATAAGCAAACAATCAAACACAAAATGCAGGATTCTGCAATCAAACTGAGCAGAACAAACAAGGCTGCTACCCTGGTTTGTCCAAAAGTGCCTGAAGAGGGGACAAGGGTCTAAACTGCAGGGAAGCCAATTCTGGCTGGGGTGCAAGAAAAATTCTGAGCAGCAAGAGCTGTTCAGCTGCAGACCGGGTGCGACAGGAGCTGATGGAGTACCGGAGGCTTTTAAAGAGGACTGGGAGGGGCTGCGATAGCTGGTTCTCGTACTGGGCCTTCTAGATGAGCTCACGCTCCCTTCTCGTCTGCGGGACTCTACGAACTGCCCTCAAAATCCAAACTTCCCCCTCAGCCTTTTGGGGCAAGCAGCCCCCAAGTGGATTAAGGCAAACCACAACCTACCCAGGGGGTCCATTCCAGGGATCTTGCCTGGCACTGGTCGGAGGCCTGGAGCGCTGCTTGTCCCAGGCGTCGGTACGTCGCTCCTTGGCGTGGGAGTGCTGGACTTTAAACCAGGGGTAGAGGATTTATCATTCTGATCCAAAAGAAGATTTGGGGGAAAGTCTGACTATTCCTGTTGCATTTAAACATTTTTTTCTCTTTTTAACTAGGTACAGAATAAATGGTTGCCTTTCAATCTCAGAATCAATTCTAAAATTCAGTTTCTTTAAACAGGATGCAAAAATTGCAAAATGATTCACCAGCGAGAGATTTCTCTGCATCCCTCTGATCAAACTATAAATGAAGATTGGATATGGGATTAATTTTCCCAAAATTATTTCAAAGGAGTTGGAGTTTCCCATTCTAGTGTCTAATGAACATCCGTTATAGCATGATCATTAGGCACTAGATACGGAGAAGGTCAGCTTCCTTTTGATCGTTGGTTCACTGCGGCTCTTTCACATGCCTAGGTCATCTAATCACCTTGGAGGGGAGATGGGCAGCATAAAATCTTAATAAATAAATAATCACCAAATTGAGCAGATCAGAGTTAGCCCAAAACAGAGTTAACCTTTCCCCTTGGACTTTCTGGGGCTGCCCCCGTCTGACCTTTCTTCTCCAATCCTTGGGAAAAAACCTGGAGTAGCAGGACGCGACTGGCTTCGCATCAGGTAAGCTTCAGGGGCCCAAGGTTTGTTGGGCAACAGCAGCCCCCCCCCCATCACTGGACCCTTGTAGGTCAAGCCTCAGGGACCACCTCCCACGCAGAGGAGCTGGCCAGTGTTCCAGGAGACGGAGACCACCACCACCACACTTGGAAGATGGAGTCCCCCGCAAAGGACATGGCTGCTTATGCGGTCACTTACATGGTCTTTAACCTTGGAAGAGGGGGTGCTGCTGGAGGAGGCGATGGAGGCAGGGCTGTTTGGGGCATCCTTCTTCAGTCCGCGGGCTTTATCCAGCCCATTCTCGGGAGGCGAGTGGGCAGGGCTCACCCGGGGGGTGGCCAGATCCTGGCAACAAAAACAAGCACTCACCACAAGCAGCACTCCAGGGCCCCTTCCCCTCACTGGGGGGGTTGCAAGCACAGATCCAGAGCTAAGCTAAGCTGCCTAGTTCTGCTCTGACAGGGCAAGAGAAATCGCCAAGGGAAGAAGCTAGATAAGCCTGCTTCTCCTCAGCAGTCTCCATATGGTGGACGCCCTGCCCTGGTGCCCTGGCAATGCCCACCCTCTGCTCTTCTGGGGAGTGGGATGCAGGGCCAGGGGAAGGGAGGGCCACAGCCAGGCCTACCTCATTGGAGACATCAACCACCAGGTCATCACTCTTGTCACCATCGCTATCCTGAAACAGGAAAGCATTGGGGGCTGTAAAAGGAAGCGAAACTCCAGACCAGCCCACGGGGCAACTCCTCCAGCGGCACCTTCCACGCGCCCCTCAACCCGCCTGCCGTGGCCATTCCTCTTTAGCACCCCCACTTCCAAACGGGAAACCGGGGATGTTTCCTTCCTGCTGGGGCCTCGACTAAATTCTTCTTGACAAGAGGGACTGGTGGCTGCCGTCAACGGGCTGACAGTGACACAAAAAAGCAACTGGAGCCGAAAACTCACGTAGCGGCTCAAGCTGTCTTTCTCCTCCGCCTTCCGCTTCTTGGGCTCACTGCCAGCGTAGTCTGAGGAGCTCCTGTGCTTCTCGCTGGCTCGCAGGCTCTCCGACGGGGAGATGGAGGTGTTCTGAGCAAGCAGGAGAGAAGGGTATTCATGCAAATGCCAGAGATTAATCGGATCCCAGATCCAAACATGTTTTCCTACCAGGAATACTGGCATCAGTGCCAGGAGAGAGAGAGAGAGAGCGCAACAGGGTGCTGCCTCCCCTATCCAGGGTCAGTCTCTCCCCAGGAGGCTTTCAGAAAATCCCAAAAGGATCTCCGTCCTGTGAAATGCTTGGGGCACCGTGGATCTTCCCAATGGTGCTTTTGTGAGCAAACCTTTTGAGCCAAATAATGGGACTAAAATGTATGTATGCACGCACGCACACACACACACAAACACATACAGAAATCAAACTTTCCTTTAAGTAGAACTAGAAAAGGCAGAAAAGACTCTGGGTGGCTTCAACTTCCATTCTATGACAGAACTGGCACAGGGGAGACCTGGGTTCCACTCCACCCTCAGCCCTAGAAACTCGCTAGGGGATTGTGGGCAGGCCGGCCATTCCGTTTCAGTCCAAGCCGCCTCACAAGATATAATGCTTTGCACACCACCTCGAGCACTTGAATGAACGACAGTTGATCAATTTAACATAGAGACAACACAATGGCCCCAACGTGCTTCCCCTTGATCCAGCCAAAATTGTAGGAAATGGAGAAAAAAGGACCCAAGGAAAAAGGGGAGGCAATGGGGAACATTCTTAATTAGGGATCCTGCTGCTGCTTGTGCCCAAAACTTCAGCACCCAGGAAGAATCTCCTAATCAATCGAATGATTGTGCAGAGAAGGGCGCACTCTTCCCAGGAATCAACATCGTTTCAATAGCCAGAAATTTGGATTTTAGCTAGATGTGGGGGGAGGCAGCCAGTTTCAGAAGACAGACAGCTCATAAAGCAATCAAAGGTCAAAAAATGGCGGTGGCAAAACAAAAGGGAGACTTACCACGCTGGAGTCACGGTCTTTCCAGAATGCAGCCCAAGTCACAGCAATGGAAAGGAAACACAAGAAAGGGGGCAGGAGAGAAACAAGGATAAAAGAGAACATCAGTCTTCCAAAGTGGGCCTTCCTGGTTTGGCTTTTGTTCTGAAGAAGCAACCAGGGCCCAGACAAAACAACGGAGAGGAACACCAAGGGGAAGGCAGGCAGCAACACAACAGCTTTGCACACACCTGGGAGAAGTAGGAGAAGCCAGTGCAACATTCACGCTACTGGTGGGTAGAATTCCACTAGCCTGGGAAGTACTCTGGGGAGGGGGGAACTGGCTGATACTTAGCCCCCCCCCCTCCCCGAGTGCTCAAGAGCTTCCAGAGACACAAAAGCAAGAGGCCGGCAGGCCGAAGGGTCAAGGAAGAAGACGATGTCCTCACCTCGATGGTCCAGATCGTGCTGATGCTTCTCGTCTTTCACAGCCAAGTGTGCTTGGCTGCCGAGGGTCCCAAGGGCCAAGAGCCCCGAACTGCTCCCTGTGACAGGGGGGATCCCTGGGGGCGGCAGGCCTGACGGGTGAGGCGGCAGCTGTACCTGAGGCCCGTGAGGGGCGTGGGAGAGGTGCTGGGCCTGGAACTGCTGCTGCTGCAGCAAAAAAGCCCACAGTGAGAAACAGCAGGAAGTCCAAACACTGCGCAGACCCCCCCTCCACTTGCCCAGAGGGAAAGAGGGAGGGGGGTGGGGAAGAAAAGGTTCACACCCCCTCCCAGAACACCCTCCTGTAAGACCACCGAGGAAAGAGATGGTAGAGGACAGGAAGGCCTGGAGGAACGTTGTCCATGGGGTCGCGATGGGTCGGACACGACTTCACAAATCTGCCCAGGTAAGGTTGCTCCCAAAAGCAAAGCAGGAGGATTTGCAGGATAAGATATATAGGCTCCTGGCTCCAGGTCAAGTTAACCTGTCAGTCCAGGCTTGTTCTGCAAAGCAAGGAGGGCTGCGTCTCTTGAAGCAGACGGTTCCATGACCAAAGGGCCCCTTTCCCCAACCCCCACCGAGGCCTCCCTCCCTGCAGGGCATTCAAGTGTTCTAGTCCTCTGAAGGAATGGAGGACGGGTCTGCTCCGGCATCCAACTAAAAGCCCTCCAGGTCATCCCTTCCCAGCTCCTCCAGTTCTCCCTGGCAGGACTCTGCACCCCTCTTGTTCATCAAACATCATGCCCAGCCCTGGCCAGCCACCACCACCTTGCATTCCGTGTTATATCCGTGCCAAAGGATTGCTCTGCACAGACGGACATCTGCTGAGCTCCAGCCCCCACAAAAAAATCTCTATCTGTACTTTGATCTTGGAGCCAGTTTCCCACTGGAGGGAGAACTAGCAATCACACACACACCTATTGTTCTCTCCAAAGACACACTGCAGGCCGCAAAGAGGCAGCAGGAACGTGCAAGGAAGCCTGGCAGAGGAACGTATCTTGGGATGTTGAGCAGTTTTAATTGGATTATGCACATCCTGCTTCACGGCTTTGTTAGCTGATTTAATGGTTCATCACTTGCATTACATTTACTCAAGCCTTCTAATCGTTTCCAGAGCTACAAGTGAACCAGGGCTCACTTTCAAAGGCCTGAAGCAAAGTGGGCAGGAGAGGGAGGGAGGGAGGGAAGTCCGTCACAGGTCACAAATAGAGGCTGGGCTGAAGCGGCCCCTCCTCCCCTACCATTTTGTTCGGCTTCCTTCCGGCTTTGGGCTCCTTGCGTGCCAGGAGGTTAGTGCTAAGTAGAGGAGGCAGGTTCCACAGGATGCCCGGGCCAAGAGAGCCCCCACTAAGTGGGAAGGAAACGTCCTGGGAGGGGCTGTACCTCCATCTGCATTTCAAGCTCCATTCCTACCTTATTTCTACTGGGAACGTTTTCAAAGGAAGGGAAAATGTAAACCTCTTGTGGCATCTTAAAGACAAAGTAGTGACTCAACGAGTATCTAATGTGCCAGAAGCCTTGGCATAACTCCAGGAAACATCTACGGGGAAGCCTCTCGTGTTGGACAAAAACAGGAAAAGTATGCAGTCTGCCTAATAACAGACTGAGGCTTTGGAGGAGTGACGGATTCAGTCCTGGGGAGGCAGAAAAAGAAAATGGCTCTTTTGCCCTCTGTAGAGGGGGGGGGGTGCTCCTAATATCTCAGGATAATTCAAAAACAAAAGCAGCCAAGGTGGTTTCTTCCCATCCAAACTGATGCAAATCCCAAGCACTCTGGGTCAAAACGAGGCCACCAGACGCATAAATCTGCTTTGGGGAAGCTCCCCTGTTGCATGACTGCCTGTATCGGCCACACAAGGAGACAGATTTAAGAAATCAATAAATAAATGCCAGGAAGGGCAGCACTACTCCTCCAGGAAGCAATTCCCCCCCACTGTTTGCTTGAGACTTTGACCTCACCCAAATATTATCGGAGAAAGAGCCTAAAAGCCTCGGTCGGATTCCTCTGACTTTCAGGGGAGGCAGGTAGAGAGAGTCCCTTGCACTGGCCCCATAATGCCCGGCAGCCCCACGCCAAGCCGTCCAGAGCCATCAAAGCAGAAGGGCTGATGGTTTCAAGACCATTTTTAATTAGAGAAAGAGAACAATCACCTCAGGGCGATGGATGGGAAGCCTGACTGAGGCCTCCAAGCAAATCTTGTGAACTTAATGTTAGGTTGAATGTATGTATGAATGCAATGCTTGAACATGGCTCTGGGGGAATTTCCATTCACCCCAGGACTGTCGGGATGTGCTATTGGACAGTCAGGGAACAAAGGCCACAAGCAGCATCTCCCTGGCCTGTGCACAGCAGAGAACTGCTAACCCAAAGCTGATGCTTCCTGCTGTGGCACAATCCCCCATGCCCACATTTTGACTGGCACATCACCATCGCTGTCCCAAGAAGCCTCTGTCCTCTTCCTTCCCCCATGTGCCCTTTCTAGGAGCCCTATAAAGGCAGGCAACCCACAGTCCAGCCACGTTAGCCCCAGAGGGAGGAGAGAAGCTGCCGGCCGCTCTCTGGCAGGCTGCCCTTCTCCCCCCGGTCCGTGGTACGCCACAGAAGCAGAGCAAGTGCCTTCAGTGAGAGGCAATCACGACTCCACCTACCCCAATGATGGCATTCAGCTCCGTCATGGTCACCTGCTTGGCCCGCTCAACTGCCTGAGCCACTTGCTGCTGGTGCTGTGGAGAGACAGGCGGAAAGATGGAAGCCCTCCGAGGGCACACCTGCGATCCAGAAGTCGGCCAATTCAGCGGCCAGAGAAGTCCGGGGCTCTTGCAACTTGGTGGGGACGCCTAAGAGAAGGCTCACCAGATTCTCAAGCCACACTTCCCGGCTGTCCTTGCTTGGTCATTAAGAAAATGGCATCGACAGGGAGGGAGGGAGGGAGGATCTGTGGCTGTCTAGATGGGTCTGTGCTGCACCCCTAGCAGACAGACTGGTGGTGAGGAATGAGGGGAACCAGTCACAGATTCCCTAATATTGCAGCTCAACTACTAGCTTAGAGAGTGGAAAAAAATGAGCCAGACTTGGCAAGAGAAAAGGTAACTGGTGCATTATGGCCCATAATTGGCTCAAGCCAATCACGTCTGGTGGGCGAGTCTTTAAAAGAGCAAACTTTGGGAAATATCACCAGCCAACATGCCTAAGCAAAGCAGCTGTCCCAGAGCAAAGAGGAAGGAGGTGGAGGGAGCAGGGAGGCAAGCGATGCCACACGAAAGGAAGTGGTCCCCAGCAGGTAAGAAGCTGGCACATGGGCTCTCTGGATCTTTGCCCCACCTGCACCTCAGGCTATTAAGGGGCATATTGAAACCAGGCTGCCATCTGGCCTGGCACAGGGAATAAACCACGAAGACTGTGACAGGCTCAGGCAGTTTTGCAAGCAAGTGGCCTTAGAAGATGGGCAATTATTCCAAAGTACTCAGGTACGGAAGGGAGAGGACAGACGCTTGTCTCCAGGTGAAAACAAAACTGTGCCCCTGGCTTTCCTGCCACAGGCCTGCTCCTGTCATGTTCCTCGGGGGTGCCCAGGTGAGATGCAGGAGGCAGACTTTTCCAGTGGGTGCTGTTGGGAGGCATGTCAAGTCTGGCTTAGACTTTCTGCCCTGCAAAGTCTCCCTGCGTTCCAAAGAGCATCTTACCTCTTGCGATAGAAAAGGCATGATCTGGGCGAGAATCGTGTTCAGCCTCTTAGCAATCTCTGTCTAAAAGTGTGAGGAGAGAGGAAAGAGAGAATGAATTGATTTGACTGTCATTGGCGACTGTATTTTTCAGAAGAAAAAAACTTTCAGAAGCAGCATTTACAGAAACTCTGCAAGTACTTGAAAAACAAGAATTTCTTTCATCACCACAATGGAGTCAAATTTCAGGGAGCCAAACCTGGGACGGGACATCATTCTCACGTCCAGCTGCAGAGCCCAGAAACTAAAAATGTGCAAGCCTCTACACCCCTGCCCCCCCGCAGCTGGGCATAGCGAGACTCTCCACCAGCCCTCCTCTGAAAGGAACGAAGCGGAGAGGCCGTCATAAGCTGGAGAAAGTGGAGCTCTTGAGCTTGAAAACTCTGTTTGTGGAAGGCCTACAGCTCTGATGAAGCACTGTCCTCCGAGCCGTTTTGGAGGAGCAGAGCTTTGCTGGAACCGACAACATCACGCTATGTGTGAGTCCTGGGATTGCCTGCCTGGTTTCAAACTGCCCAGTTCTTACAAGGCCCAGCATCAGACAGCCATCTCTCGCTGCACCCTGGGCCTTTGATTTTCCACTTCAAAGCAGCCAACAAATAAGAATAACATAATATACAATTTTTAAAAAATCAAGGTGGCCCTATTTTTATTAGTAAAAGTTGCTCTAATTAGAATAACCATAAAGGTAAGGTAAATAAAACCCTAGTAAGACCACACCTGGAATACTGCGACCAATTCTGAGTTCCTTTTGAGACAATGCCTGTTTCAAGGGTTCTGCTTTCTTGGGTGGTTAGCTGAGGTGGGTCCTTACAGGTGGCCCAGGTCAAGCAGCTTGGTGCTAGGTGGCTCTTGCTCCCTTGGGAGATAAGCAGTTGGCCCCCTACTTTTGACTAGTTAAGAAAAATAAGTAAAATAACCAGAAACCCACTTTTCAAGGCACCTGCAAAAAGGGGCAGCCAGATGGCTTTGTGACCTTAATGAAGGATCTGATGGGGTGATACCAGTTCACAGCCATCAAGCAGATGAGAGCCATTCTGCGAGCTGCAAGGTGCCCAGCAGATGGTGGAGAGGTGGGACTGGAAAGGGGAATCTAGGTTAAACTGGGAGAGGCTCGTTAGGATGCCAAGCAGGTCACCTTCTGTTTGCCAACCAATCTGGCAGTTCTGTCGGATGGGGAATTGAGGGCAGCCTACCATGATCTGGCTTGAACTTCTGAATGAATGGTGGGATATATTTTCCAATAAGGAAATAAATATAGTAAAATGCACTCTTGCTTAAAGCAAGGCAAATTCCAAGATATATTACTGTTGAAAAAATACTGCCAGAATTTGGCTACAACGGCTGAAATGAAGTTTACTCGCAGAGTCAAGGAAGCACCACTGTTCTGTGGATCCTTTGGCCACCCTGAATTCAGGCCAAGGGGAAAAGCACTCTCTATCCACTCCCGCCCACAACTGCACCCCAAGTCTACAGGGCCCGATCTTAGAGTCCCTTGGGAAAGGCAGGGGCTTTCAAGGAAGGCAACTCACCTGTTTGTGCATTTCAATGTTCAACCCGTAAGACATTTCATAGTACTGAAAAACAAAAGCGGGACAAGCTTTTTACTAACTATGCAAGAAACGTCTGGAAGAAACTAAGCATGCCCAACATTCAACATCAAAATGACAAAACCTGAATTTATTAGAATCTCAAAACACCTCGGTTTTGTACAGGTCACCCTAGCACAGGGGTGGGCAACCTCGGCTCTTTTATGGCTCATGGACTTCAACTCCAAGAATGCCTGAGTCAGCTATGCTGACTCAGGAATTCTGGGAGTTGAAGTCCATGAGCTATGCTGACTCAGGAATTCTGGGAGTTGAAGTCCATGAGCTATGCTGACTCAGGAATTCTGGGAGTTGAAGTCCATGAGCTATGCTGACTCAGGAATTCTGGGAGTTGAAGTCCATGAGCTATGCTGACTTAGGAATTCTGGGAGTTGAAGTCCATGAGCTATGCTGACCCAGGAATTCTGGGAGTTGAAGTCCATGAGTCATAAAAGAGCCGAGGTTGCCTACCCCTGCGCCTAGCAAAACTAGAAAAAGACTGTCCTCAAACGTCTCTTCCCTTGAGCAAATGGCCAAACTCTCAGCCACCCAGGCACAAGCTGAGCCCTTGCTGCTTCCAAGACGTACACAGCCCAAGCAGTCCTTGGAAGCTTCCCTGGGGCTCCCTCCGACACTACAATGTAAGGCATAAGGTGCTCTGAGTAGTGGAAGTCATCGGGATGGATACCATCACCACCCATCAACTCAGCAACTTAATGATCCAGGACAGCAGAAGCTCTCTGCTGCAAGCTCCCAATTTACAAACAATGCCAACTAGGCCAGACTTTTCTACATAGAGGAACACTATACAATGCTTATACAATAGAATTATCCTGGAATACTCCGTACACAACCCAAGAGCTGAGCATGAACAGGAAATCAGTTGATGATCTGTCAAGGAATACATAACCAGCTTATATGCAAGAAAATGGCCACAGACATCCCACTCTGCATATCTGGAGGCCTAGAAGGAGAAATAGCCACTGCTCTGAAGCAAGGCTGCCTCAGTTTCCCCAGCCAGATAAAGCCACTGTGGATAGAAGCTTCCCATTCAGAGCAAATCTTTAGGGTCCCATAAACAAATAGGGAATTTGGGGCAGCTACAATTATCTTAAAAATCTCAACAAGCTTCGCATACCCAAATGTCATCAGACAGGCCTTGCCACCCAAGTTATTAACTTCTGCCTAGAATAATTACTGAACAGCCACAACAACAGGGAAGATTTGCGGCAGCAGTGAATGCAGAGGGGAAACGACGACGGCAGGAGCAAAAGCAGCTGACTACATACCACACCGATCAAACATTTACCCACCACCGATCTTATATTCCTCCTGGGGACATGATGAGGCCACCTCTAGCCCAGTAATCCTTCTGGGTTAGGGTGAGTCCCCAAGAAGAGAAGTGACACTGAACACAATTTTGGTAGTTTAGTACAGCACCCCTTCCTGATGTATTATTCAAGTAGAACTTTTGAGAGCCCCAATAAGCGGGACTCAAAAGTGATGAGCAAGCAGATCCCTCCCAGCGCTGTTCCGTGCAGGTGTCTCTTACCATGACATAATGGCGCTGCATTTCTGTCTTTTCATTTGCAAGCTTATCATACTCCACTTTCAGGCTACAAAATAGGAAATTTAAAGTGACACGACATACAAAACATCATTTGTTCAAATGCACTTCCTGACCCCCTTATTTAAGTAAAGCCAAGAGTGCCCCTGAAAGATACGAGCTGAGCGGAGGATGAGCGTGCAGGAGGCTCACCTGTGGTACTGGGCCTGCAGAAACTGGAACTCATCCTTAATCCTGTCACAGGATTCAGCCACTGTGAATTTAATGCCGGGCTGTCCAGGCTGGTGGGGGCCCTGAGGAAGAAACACGTTGACTGGGGGCCAGGGGGAGCACAACTACCCCTCCCCATGCCAGCACAACTGGGGTGGGGCTTCAGACCCTTCCCTCCCAGCACCAGGGGGAAAGGCTGCTGGGAGAACCGTCTGGGCTCCCCCACCCCAAAGAGCAACGGGTTGGCTAGAGAGCCTCGCTCAACAGAGCTGGGGGGGGGAGCAAAATTAAGAACTGAATATTGGGGTGAAGCCTTAGTGAGCAAATGACAACAGACAGCATCATATTCCAGAGCCTCCCTGACCAGAGATGCGGTTAGACACACATCCGAGTCCTAAGTCCAATAAACCAACTTTGCCAGGGCCCCGGCGAGTTTCGACGAGGCGGGGTGGCCAATCTATTACTTCGCCTTTCCCCACCCGCAGTTTCACCGACGGCAAGGGAGGAGGGACCGGGGGCAGAGAGCATGGCTAGCGGACCGACGGGGGGAGGGGCTGCGCGGAGGCGGCCCTCTGCCCGACCCAGGAGGGCTCCCCGGGCGGGGCCCAGCGCCACTCACCGGGTGCCGCCCCTGCGGATACATGGCCTGCCCTGGCAGGCGCGGCCGGCCCGCCGCGACGGGAACCAGGACTCTCCTGAAGCCGGGACAAAAGAAGCGAGGGCGGGCGGCTCAGCACCCGCCGCCCCCCTGGCCGTCCCCGCCGCCGCCGGGAGCCTGGCGCGTCTCCTCCTCCTCCTCCTCCTCCTCCTCCGGGCGGAGCGGCAGCGGCGGGGGCGGCCGGGCTTCCCCCGGGCGGGCGGCGGCGGCGACGGGCGAGATGGCAGCGCCGCGGCTCCCGGGCATCCTAGCCCTCCAGGCTCCCGAGGATGCCCCCCGGCCCGATCCCGACCCGGCGCCGCTCAGCCAAGCCGGAGAGCTGCGCGCAGCACCGGCACTCCGCCCACGCGCCTTCCCGGGATCCGGAGCGGAGCGAGGCCGGGCCGAGCGCTGCGCCACGATCCTCCCCGCGGGCAGCCGGAAAACGGCAGGCGAACAAAGCCCGGGCGGGCGGGCCAAGAGAGGCGTCTCCGCGGAAATCCAGCCAGGCCGCGGAAGCGCTTCCGCCGCGGAGGACTCCCCGCCGAACTTCCCTCGCTCCGCGTCCCCAGGCGCCCGCTCCGGCCAGGGTCGGCGGGCCAAGCGGGGGCGCCGCGGCCCCGAGGGGAAGGAGCGCCTGGCGTCCGCGGCGGTGTCCGGGGAGGGGCGCAAGCGCCGCCGGCTCCTTCCGCGGTTGCTCCGCACCGTCGGGCTCCACTCCAGCAGCGCCGGGGGGGGGGGGCAGCGGCGGCGGAGGCGGCGGCCGCAGGAAGAAAGAGGGAAGCTGGGCGAAGGAGGGGAGGGCGCGCGTCCCCGCCGCTCTGCGCCAATCACCACGCGGGGATCCCACGTGGGGAGCTCCCGCTCTGATTGGGGCCCGGGAGGAGGGGGCGGGGAGCGTCCCGCGGCTGCCTGCGGGGACAGCCCGGCCAGCGAGCGGCGGCGCTTCCCGGGGCGGTCCCGGCCTCCGTGCCCTCGGCTTCCGCGGCCGAGCCGGGCGGTGGGGTTCGCCTCCTGCCGTCCGATCTAGACCGGGCTTCCGCCGAGGCATTTCGGGCGAGATGGCAGAGCGAGCCCTCCGGCGGGGAAGGGAAAGCCGGGCCGCCTCGTTAGCCGCGGCTGCTGCAGCGCAACGAGGCCCCCGTGCCCAGTAGCCGCTCCACTAGGTGGGCGTCCCCGGTCAGCTGAGCGCCGGCGGGGCGGTACACGCGACCCCGTCCGGCTCCCGGGGCGCGCCAAGCCAGAGACTCGCGGGCGGGCGGGCGGAAGGCCAGGGCCGCGGCGGCCTTTGTGGGCTGCCCCCAGGCAGGAGCGAAGGGAGGGCTGGTTGCCCTCAGCCGCGCCAACAGAAGCGGCCGCGCTTCGCCTGCGGGGCCGCCGGGGACCCTCCCCCCCCCCCCGCAGCCGGGAAGCGCCGGTCGGAGAAGGCGCCGAGGACTCCCTCGCGGCCTCCCGGGCGGGGGCGGTAGCTGTGCCGAAGGGTCGCCCTCGCCTGAGCCGCCGGAGCCAATGGGGCTCCTAGGAGCGTGCAAAGCGCCGGGCCGCCCCCGGGGGAGTCGGGGCTTCTTTGGCGTGAGAGCCGCCGCGCCCGGGAGGCCCAAACGGCCCGTGACGTCACGAGAGAGGCTGGCGCCCGCCCCTCGACCACTCCGCCCACGTGGAGCACGGCCGCGCAAGGGAAGGACAGCCAATCGGCGTCCGGGCAAGCGCCTTCCCGGCCGCCCATTGGCCGTAGGCTGCTACTCCGCCGGCTCAGCTGTCCGTCAAGCCCACGCGGGCCGTGGAGCCGAGCGCTGCCGGTTGGGCGGCTCTCCTGCCCCGGGAGGGCTTCCCCTTAGCTCGGACGGGCTTCTCCAGCTCCCGCGATCGGTCGCTGCCCTGCGCCGGAAGACCGTCCGGGCACCGGCCTCCGCCGCAAGAGGGCAGCCGCCGCCGTTCCGCAGCCAGCCGCGTGCCGGGCAGCCCCTCGCGGGCAGGGCAAGGCCGGCGTGGCTGAGGAGTCCGGGCGCCGGAGTCTGCCGCGGCTGACGGCCCAAAAGACGGCCCTGGCCTGTCCCGAAGCCGGGATGGGCGGCCCCGGTCGCGCTCACGATCAGACGGCCGGGAGAGGCAGCCGGTGCCCGAGTGCGCGCAGCACGGAGAGAAGTTTTCCGTTCCCCGCCGGTTTGAACAAGGCTGGAATGAGCGACGGGAAGGGAGCCGGTTTGCACGGCTGCAGGCCTGTCTGCCGGCCGCCCTCGGTGAAGCCCGCCAAACGGGACTGGGGAAACGCTTCGTTTTGTGGAAGAGGGAGAGGGAGGGTCGCTATCCCCGCAATTCCACCGCCCAGTTATAAGCAAGGATCTTTCGAGGAAGCAACGTCGTCGGAAATCTCCACTGCAATGTGGCGCTGCTTGCGCTGAAAGGGGACAAGTCCTCAAACGGTTCTAGATCGCTCATTGATTGTGTAACATTATAGCTGGCTGGGAGGAGAGCCGCTTTGGAGTGGGAAAACGGACTTCCTAGTTTTCAGAGAAGTACAAACATTTCTGTATGGATTATCTCGTCGTCAAGAATTATCCCGAAGGAAGATAAACCAGTGCAATGCAGCAAAGCAGCCTTTGTGCCAACCTCTGCCTACATCTAGAACAGTGGTTCTCAACCTTTTTAATACTGCGACCCCCAACCGGTCGTAAGTCGAGGACTAAACCGGTCGTAAGTCGAGGACTAAACCGGTCATAAGTCGAGGACTAAACCGGTCGTAAGTCGAGGACTACCCAACCGGTCGTAAGTCGAGGACTACCCAACCAGTCGTAAGTCGAGGACTTTCCCTGCCCGGGAGCGCCGCACATGCGTGGTTCCGCCCCCTGCGCTGGCCGAGGCGTAGCTGGCAAGCGGCAGAGACAGAGCAGGCCGACCACCAGCTGGCCCAGCTCAAGGGAGGTAAGGCACCCGCCGGAAAAGGAAAAAAAAATGGCGGACAGCCTTGCTTGGCGACCCCCGTGAAATGGTCGATCGACCCCAAATGGGGTCCCGACCCACAGGTTGAGAACCAGTGATCTAGAAGTTCAGAAACAGGCAGCAGAGACCTGCATCTCTCTTGAAAACACCATTTTTTAAATCCTGCAGTACAGTATAGAAGAGAGTCGACAGAAACACACTCACTCTAGGTTCTGCCACCTCGATGTCTCTCCCTTCAGAAGAAAAAATCATATTACATTAATAATGTACTGGGCTAGGTTTGGCTGTCTTGGGGAGGCTGTGTCTACCTGGAGTGCTCCATTAAATCACTTTGCAGGCTTCTGCAATAATTCCAGACACTTTTATGAGAAAGATTTCCTTGTGTCTCCTCCACCTTCCATTGTGCAAATTTCCTTCCGGGTTCAAAACAGATGGTGCACTCAAGGCAGGGCACAGATTGCAGAGATAATTGGCTGCCTGCGAGTGTTCAGAGCAAAGCAAACAGTTCCCCAAGAGGAGCTTGGCTTGCACACTCCCACAAAGTGGGTGGGGAGGCCCAGCCTTCAGCCATCCCAGCAGAAACTCACCTGCCTTTGGACAAACAGGAGTCTTCCCTTTTGCAAAAAGCAATGTGTAAACATACATGCACCGAGGGCTTGTTAAAATAGTTCAAGGTCACAATATGTTTGCTTATGACTACAGCTACAGCAAAGAAGAAAGCCGGGTTGAGAAATGGCGTTGGAAGTGCCACCTTGTTCCAGCTGGGGATTATCGGGCACGGAGAGTGAGCAATTTATCTGCCACCTAGTAGGGAAGTACTGGGATTGGTGGAACAGGTTATCAGCCCTGAAGTGATACTTTATATACTATTAGTAATCCAGTTGTCTTTCCAGTTTTATCTTTTCAGAAAAAATCACAAGGATGCTGAGAGCTATTTCTTACTTCCAGTATACTGAACTTAACCTTTTTAAGCCCTTTCTGTTATGTGAAGAAAAAACATTGGTTGAATCGATCATAAGAAACATGCTTTATTTTTAAAGCCTTTATCTTAATGCAAGATATTCCAAGTCAGTTCTTGGCAAATATCTAATATTCACCTTAACAACATTCTTTAATTTTGATATGTATAAATAGGGTGGCTTTAGACCCATCAGAAGTCGTGGTGAGGCAGTTAATGGCTCGGAGTGCTCGGTGCTGCTAATGTAGCTGGATTGGATGAGAGATGGGAAGGAGCCATAAAGGCTGACTGCTCACATTAACAGTTGCAGAACTGGGAAGCAGAACTGGGAAGCCCCCTGGTCGTCTCCAAGAATGAGGCTTGGCTTCAAGAAGCGGGAGGCAGAGACGTTGCAGTCGTAAAGAAGCAACCCTATGCCTGTGCAATGCCCCCCCTTCCCTACGGCCCCCCTGTCTTCACCTCATCTATATTTGGAACAGACCCAATTCGCAGGAGCAGAGTCAGAAGAAGAGCTATTTTGTGTGATATAATTCACTTTAATCTTTTAAGCTTGACAGTATTTGTTTGAAAGAAGGAGCAACAAGCACATAATTATTGCACTAATTAAGCTGCCAAAACAGAATTCTGCTACATGGAGCACCTTTGAAACAGTGAGCCCTCAATTCATTAGCATCTGCTGTAAGCTTATTAAGCACCTAACAAGCAATTAGCAAGCTGTTACTGTTTGAAAATGGTATATAAATAAATTCTTGGGTTAATTTCTTCCTCTGATAATAAAGAAAACATTATGAAAATTAACTAAGCGACAACGTAAAATGATCTTTTATTTGCTGAAGTCCACTTAGACTTCAGCAAGGCATTTGACAAAGTAGACCTTGGTAAACTAGAAAAATAGATACTATCACCATCAGATGGATTTGTAACTGGCTGACAAACAGTACTCAACGAGTAGTCCTTAATGGTACTATGTCTACATGGAGGGAAATAAGCAGTGAGGTACCACAAGGTTCCATCTTAGGCCCAGTACTCTTCAATATCTTCACTAATGATGGAGGACTAGAAGGGGAAATCCATAATTTGCAGATGACACTAAGTGGCAGGAATAGCCAACACCCCAGAAGACAAGCTCAGGATCCAAAAAGATCTTAGCAGACTTGAACAATGGGCTCTATCCAACAAAATGAAATTTAATGTAGAGAAAAGCAAGGTTTTTACACCTAGGCAGGAAAAACAGATAATTAAAGAAGTGCTTTTCTGCTTACTTTGTATTCTGGTTATTGTGTTGTGGCATTTGATGTTATTATTTGTAAGCCAGAAATATAAAGCAGCAGCCACCATTTCGCTGTATCCCCAACCCACCCACCCAAAACGGCAGCATGTCATTTCAATAAAGTACAAGAGAAATGACACAGAAAATAAAGGTTTATTGATATGTAGTGTAAAAGGGAGACTAGAAATACATAAATAGCTCCCAGAGAAAAGAGAATGATAATACTTGTAAGTATTAGTATATCAAAACCAGACCATTATTGTTGAGTTATTCAAGTTGCTGTGAACAAGAGCACTTGGTGAATTGGTTAATCTAAGCCTTCCAGAAGAGCAACACAAGAGGCATTCTCTGAATTTCTCAGTTTTGAAGTCAACATTTTAAGCCCACCAAATCCATGCACAGGTTAAGCTTCCCCACTTCCTCTCCTCTGTTTACAATCAGCTGCAATTCCTGTCGCCTCAGAGAAACGGCAATGGAGCCCGTAGCCCATTGCAGTCCAACACATTCTAGTTCCCTGTGCCTGGAAGGTCCACTTTGCAAGTGGACAAAGGGCAGGAATTTTGAAGCAGTCTGCTTTTAATATTTCCATGTAAAAAGGTGGATTTTTTTTCCAGAACCCCAGAACTCCATATATCTGCTTTTGGAACTATTCCAAAGTTACTTAAAAAGCAACAACAAACTTTCCAGTCCTTTATATTTATTCCTAAAAACAAATAACATCTATGCCAAATTAATTCTCTCACCAAAAGGTTTTCCCTGCATAAATAATATCCTTTATAGTGGATTATCATACATAATTTACAAAATACTGTATTTTAAGATGTTGCAATTAATCACCTTAGCGTGAAATCAAAGAATTTGAGCAATTGGGGCCCATCGTTTGGAATACAAGTGGCACAAGCTGAGGCACAGCAGGAGCAATGCTTCCCCAGAGGAAGGGGTCTTTCCGGGCGCCCCTTTCAGCAGAGTTCCCCACTACAAGTTGAAAGGCGCCACGGCTGACAGCCACGGCCACGGCCACCCGTTCACAGAATATACATAAGAACACAATTAGATTCCCTGGGTAACTGAACAGACACACTTGCTGCTCTAGGAAGATGCCCCTTCCTCAACAAGCCACAGATCTGGGAAGGACGAGCTGGTCTTCGGCCCTCGTAGCTGCAAAGTGGGGGGGCTCCAGCACTACAGCCAAGCCCACTACAAGAGGCACAGGTCTTCTTTTGCTTCTGCATTTTTTTTAAATTTATTTTTTTTAAAAATTTTCCCAACTATTTTAGTTGTTAATTAGCTTATCTGTAAACAGTTGATTTTTTTTTCTTTTTTAAAAAAGTAACGATCGAACACAAATTTTAAGCTGCTGCATTTTAAGGTTGCATAACAGCTTTTCATTTTTATCTATTCAGTCCTGCTGTCCTTAAAACTACAAATAAATCAGTAATAAACACTCTTATGAAAAAGTATCTTGTAAAAAGTATTATCTGATGTAGTTTCCTCTCCTGAAAACAGCAATAAAAAGGCATTGCTAGTTTTAGCTAGTCTTCAAAGAGGCAGCTTGGCCAGCCAAGCCGCCGTGGAGCACAGGGGGAGCCTTGAGGCCAAGATAAAAACCTTCAGCCTCGTCCAGCCCCCACCCCAGAAGACGCAGGCCCCCTTCTCTGAGCTACCTGGCTCAGGACCCGACATCTCCAAGTGGGGGGGGGAATGCCTGGGTAAGGCAGGATTAGCGTTCTTTTAGGGCTGTCAATCTGACATTCAGGAGAACTTCACTTTGGTCATCATTTTGACTACCAATAAATAAAAACTTCTATTTTTCAAATCAGGGGTGATCTTTTCATTTTGTTTAAAAACGGGTTTGCGTAAATATTTTTCCCATATTCCTGCTACAAGCAGCTGGGGGAGGGGGGGGAGTTACCAACTCCTAAGCACTAAGGGACGTTAAGAAGTTGGCAAAGTTGCCTGCAGCCTAAAGAGCCAGCTAGAGCCTCAATTCCCGTAGCAAATCAGTCCCTGCCGCATGCGGATGATCTGGAGCAGGGCTGCCTGCACGTCTTCATCCATGTGACCCTGAAAAATTAAAAGGAGGCCTTTGAAAAGGTAAACCGCTAAACATTTAAGACCAGCCCATTCTTGTTCTGAAGACGGATCACTTAGGATCGCTTGGATAAGTCTCGGGACCTCAGACTTAAAAGAGACAGCAGCCACACTCCAGCAGGAGAGCAACTGTCCTGGAAGAAGTCACCCAGGCCTAACCCTAACCCTCCCCCTCCCCCAGGTCCCTGCAGGATCACACACCTGAACAGCACTAAGAAGGTGTGTCCGGTATATTGAGATGACTTCCTGGTGCTGCCTCTCAGCATCCTAAAACAAACGAATCTTCCATTAATTTTCTACAGATAACGATCAAACGTGTTGCCTGCGCTCTCGGTTGAGGAGAAGTGAGATGTTACACAAGGGACTGATGCTTCTGACACCTCTAGAAATTCCTCCAAGAGAGATTATTTTCCCACCCTATCCAAGCCTGGCGCTCCTCACATGCTGCAATGGGTCCTCATGCCCCAGATCCCTACTTACAGCCAGCTGCTGCTGTAGAGTCTCCACCTGGTTCTGGAGCACTTCCGTCTGTGGGTTTTGCTTCTTTGTAGGAATGTTGTGGGTAAGCTGTGAGAGGCCATTAAGGGCCTGCTTGAGCCGTTCCACATCATTGAGAAGTTCCGTTATCTTCAAGAGAGACATTGACAAAATTCCAATGAAAAGAAGAAGTGAGCCCTGCCCTCCCATCACCCCCAGCCCACAAATGAGGAGAAAGAATACAAGCCAACTGCTTGGGCACCTTCATCTAGAAGAGGGCAGAAGTTCAGCTTTGCCCACAAAAGAGGGCTGAGCCCATTTTTATATGGAATTCTCGCATAACATAAAAAGGCAGGAAGCAGGAAACAACTGCAGATACCTCCACGCTGAGCAGCTCTTGTCTATTTTGTTTTAGCTACATTAACAGCTCTGGAATGACTGTCTTCTGCTACTCCCCCATTCCCAGCTGCAGAAGGAATAAGGAAGGCCGGCCACTCCAACGCAGGGAGACTTCAGGTCAGAAAACCAAACTCCTGAGAGTTTTAAGATATGACTGACCAATGCTACTTGTCTTTTGAAATCTGGGCATTATTTTTTATTAAATGGCAATGCTGTGATAATGCAATGTCCCCCCCCTCCAAGAGCTTGCCAGCTACTATGCTACGGTGACATGTAAGCTACCAGGAGTTTAAATGTAGAAGGTGGACATGACTTCTGTAATTAAAAAATATGTGTAAAAACAATGGCAGGTTTAGACAATCCTTTTAACCTAGAGTAGAGTCCTATTCAGCCTTTCACAAGCTACATGTTTTCATAGCTGAAAAGCTCCAGGGAAGGCTTCCATAAATTTTAGCAGTTTTTGCAAATTCCCCACCTGTGCACCCAAACATCTGCAAATCTATGTAATGCTGGCATATCCAGTGGCTTCCATGTGAGCACAAAACCTGATGGTGCAACTTTTGCTCACCTGGAAATCCCTGTAAAGGTCCCCAAGGCACAGGAGTTCATGGCGGCTATGGGCATTTTAAAGTCCTTGGGGGCTTCCATGTTCCATTTCCACACAAATACTTGTGTGGAGAGTTTATAAACGCAGCTTTGTGTAATTGTGTGTGCTAGATGCAACAAGCAATACCTCTCTAATGATTTCATACATGTGACTCCATTCCAAAGCTACTGAGAGGAGATCTAGGAGTGAGTCATCCCGGCTCTCCTCTGTGCCTCCTCGGGCATCTCAGCTTCCCCATTTTAATTGGCTCACCTTGTTATCTTTGGCCTCCACCTGCTTGGCAGACTCCTGGATCCTTTTCTGCAACTCCACGATGGTGCTCAGAGACTTGTCACACCGCTCTTTCTGGTCTTTGATTTCCTGCTCAATGTTGACGTTTCTTGGCTGAAGCAGCTCCTTCTCATCCTTCAAGGATGGCTCCTCTGCATTTGCCTCCAGCGAATCGTCCTGCAGCTTCTCCATCTTTTTAGTCAGCTCAGCCAGTTTCTCAGCCAGGCTGCTCACCTGGCCTTCCAGCCTGCTTCTCACCCTCTTGTGCTCAGATGCCTCCACCACCTCTCTCTTCTCCAGCTTGCTTAGCGCTTGCTTTGTGCTCTGAAGTTCAGAGTGCAGCTGGGAGACCTCTTCTTTTCTGGTTTGGCTTTCTTCTTCCTCCTTCTCTCTCCATCTGGACTGCAGGACCGCCAGTTCCTTCTCCAGCCTTTCTCTGATTTGGGAGTGTTCTGCCAGAGGCACTGAGGTGGCTTGTAGATGGGCCAGTTCCTGCTGCAGCTCTTGCGCTCTTTGCAGCTCTTGCTGGCTTCTGGCTGCCTGGCTGCCAAGTTCTGCTTTCAGGTCCTCAATGGTGCAGCTGAGCTTCCTCTCCTGGGCCTCCACCTGCTCCAGAGGAACATACTGGCCCTGCAAGCGGCTCTGCATGAGGAGCACCTCTGAGCGCTGCCTGGCACTCTCCTCCTGAAGCCTCTCCTTCTCTCCTGTGACCTCAGCAAACTTTTGCTGCAGCTCCCTTAACTCCTTGTTCAGGTCATCCACCTTGCTTGCCAACATTCCCTCCATTTCATGGTACTTCTCTGCAAGGATATAGTTTTGCTGCAGATCATTTTGGACAGCCAGGATCCCAGCTGTTAACTTTCTGATTTCCTCAATATGTTTCTGGATTTCTTCCTCTTTTGTTC